AATAGTTTACCATTACGTGTGGTTAAGAAAGTCCACCATATGTGTAGGTCTGCGGTGGCTTGGTTGTCTAGGGACAGCCCCTGATCATCATGCGGGAGTGTGGAAAAAACAAAGTGGTCTTAGATGAAAGCGCGGCCTGCGGTATGATTCACATGGCAAAATTTAAAGAACCTGGTAGGGATTGTAGTTCCATGCGGTTGCAAGTACCAAGCAGGAGGTGGTAATTGGTGTTGTTGCAACTGTTCCTATTTCTCACATGGTAACTTGTTGGCATGGATGCCGAATCAAGTTGTATACCCAGGAATGTAACGATAGTGTCTGGGTCTTCTGTGACCTTAGGGAATACTGGGACATCCAAGTGTTCAGACATACTAATGGCTTCCTTGAAGCTTCTAGAGGGAAAGGCGTTCCCTTTGACCAACAAGAAATCATCTCGGGAGTGTATGACTGTGGGGCATCTGGATATTTTTAACCACAACCAGCAAAGAGTTCAACGAATATATTGAAGATTGTGGGCTGCTCTTGACCCGAAAGTTAAGTGGGAGAAGAAATATATAACTGCTGCACATAAATGCCCTGTAAGTGCCAGTGTAGGGTGGATGGTGGCAGTCTGAAATGCGTTTGTGATATCAGTTTTAATTTACCAGGCTTCCCCCCCTGCTTGAGTGATAGCTGTAACGGTATGAACAATGGTGGCATACTGTATTGAAAACTCCTTGGAGGGTATGAGGGAGTTGAGACTTGGGGTAGGGGAGGCGTGAGGTGCAGATAAGTCTATGATCAGTTACAGTGTGAGGGAAGATTCCCTGTGACAATCCCAATGGGATTGCGCCACGCTGTAAATGGTGTAGATCGGAGAGACCCAGGTAGAAATCTTTCTGCCATTTCTTGGGCCATGAGAGTAAGCTGTTGGATGCTGTTGGATGCTGCTGTGATGACTGCAGGTTAGGGCATTCTAGAATCCCCCAAAAGTATATTGCAATACCTGTATGGAAGGCCTTTAAAAATTCGGAGATTAGGAAATCAACTAAATGTCTGGAATGGTGATGAGTTAGAAAGTACTGGAAATGCATAATGTTTACAGACGTGAAGTAAGGTTCAGGGTACATTTATTGGGACACATGGTTTTTGCATGTGCCCTGACATATTGAGAACATTTCTGCAACAGTCTGCATGCACTGAAACTACATGTGCCAACATGGAAATTGTTGCCAATCTGGGATTTGCCAAAGAGAATGAGACAACCCAATTTGTCTCTGGTAGTTCTCTACGTACTACCAGAGGTGCTAGAGCCTGGAGCCTGGAATGTGATCGTCTGCTGTATTGGGACAAAATTGTCGTGTGGGACTAGCAACATCTTCTCCAAGTGAAAGTGTGTTGACTCTAGCTGGAGTGTTAGGTAGAGAGAAATCCTTACCACCTACTTGATACATACTAAAAAACATGAAGATAGCCATTATTATATGAACCCACACTGTGCTAGTACTGGCTTGCTAGCTAAAGACGCATGGCAAAACAATGAATCCTTTGTTTGGTGACAGGTCAGGCCCTGCTGGTTGCCAAGTGGCTTGAGAGGCTCTATCTATGCAATGGTGCAAGGGGATTTTTGTGGCCACCAAAGGTAGTGGCAGGATGTTGGCCTCTCTGTGACTGTAACCATAAAAAAGGGGAAGGGGTCAGTGTGTAGGTGAAAATGCAGTGGTTTATTGGTTTATACATGAAATGCAAAAAACGTCTAAGAAGACTGTAGTACACCGAATGACCGGCAGGGGTCAGTGTGTAGGCACAAATGCAGTGGTTCGTTGGTTTGTACATGAAATGCGATAATGTCTGAGAAGCCTGTAGTACACCGAATGACCGGTAGGGGTCAGTGTGTAGGCGCAAATGCAGTGGTTTGTTGGTTTGTACATGAAATGCGATAATGTCTAACAAGCCTGTAGTACACCAAAAGACCGGTAGGGGTCAGTGTGTAGGCGAAAATGCAGTGGTTCGTTGGTTTGTACATGAAATGCGATAATGTCTGAAAAGCCTGTAGTACACCGAATGACCGGTAGGGGTCAGTGTAGGTGAAAATGCAGTGGTTCGTTGGTTACTACATGAAAAGCAATAATGTCTGAGAAGCCTATAGTACACTGAATGACCGGTAGGAGTCAGTGTGTAGGCGCAAATGCAGTGGTTCGTTGGTTTGTACATGAAATGCGATAATGTCTAACAAGCCTGTAGTACACCAAAAGACCGGTAGGGGTCAGTGTGTAGGCGAAAATGCAGTGGTTCGTTGGTTTGTACATGAAATGCGATAATGTCTGAAAAGCCTGTAGTACACCGAATGACCGGTAGGGGTCAGTGTAGGTGAAAATGCAGTGGTTCGTTGGTTACTACATGAAAAGCAATAATGTCTGAGAAGCCTATAGTACACTGAATGACCGGTAGGAGTCAGTGTGTAGGCGCAAATGCAGTGGTTCGTTGGTTTGTACATGAAATGCGATAATGTCTAACAAGCCTGTAGTACACCAAAAGACCGGTAGGGGTCAGTGTGTAGGCGAAAATGCAGTGGTTCGTTGGTTTGTACATGAAATGCGATCATGTCTGAAAAGCCTGTAGTACACTGAATGACCGGTAGGGGTCAGTGTGTAGGTGAAAATGCAGTGGTTCGTTGGTTACTACATGAAATGCAATAATATCTGAGAAGCCTATAGTACACTGAATGACCGGTAGGGGTCAGTGTGTAGGCGCAAATGCAGTGGTTCGTTGGTTTGTACATGAAATGCAATAATGTCTGAGATGCCTGTAGTACACCGAATGACCGGTAGGGGTCAGTGCGTAGGTGAAAATGCAGTGGTTTATTGGTTTGTACATGAAATGCAAATACATCTAAGAAGCCTGTAGTACACCGAATGACCGATAGGGGTCAGTGTGAAGGTGAAAAATGCAGTGGTTTGTTGGTTTGTACATGAAATGCAATAATGTCTGACCGAATGACCGGTAGGGGTCAGTGTGTAGGCTCAAATGCAGTCGTTCGTTGGTTTGTACATGAAATGCAATAATGTCTAAGAAGCCTGTAGTACACCAAAAGACCGGTAGGTGTCAGTGTGTAGGCGAAAAAAATTGTATTTCGTTTGTAGTTTTAACCGAACAGATTTTAACCAAAACAGATTTTAAACAACAGATTTTACATGAACAGCTAGGTGAGTATAAGGTAACAAAATAACCATGCAAGTTAGTTTGTTTGTTACAGTTTGAGAGTCCCTGAGACACCAAATGCGATGCTGACCGAATGACCGATAGGGGTCAGTGTGAAGGTGAAAAATGCAGTGGTTTGTTGGTTAGTACATGAAATGCAATAATGTCTGACCGAATGACCGGTAGGGGTCAGTGTGTAGGCTCAAATGCAGTGGTTCGTTGGTTTGTACATGAAATGCGATAATGTCTAAGAAGCCTGTAGTACACCAAAAGACCGGTAGGGGTCAGTGTGTAGGCTCAAATGCAGTGGTTCGTTGGTTTGTACATGAAATGCGATAATGTCTAAGAAGCCTGTAGTACACCAAAAGACCGGTAGGGGTCAGTGTGTAGGCAAAAAATTGTATTTCGTTTGTAGTTTTAACCGAACAGATTTTAACCAAAACAGATTTTAAACAACAGATTTTACATGAACAGCTAGGTGAGTATAAGGTAACAAAATAACCATGCAAAACTAAAGGAAACCGTAAAGTGAGGACCCGTGCTGTGCTGAACGCCGTGGGAACTAATCCTGGCGTGACAGGTGGGTCAACTTACAGTTTGAGAGTCCCTGAGACACCAAATGCGATGCTGACCGGAGAGAAAGCCACTGGATTAACGGAAAGCCCTGATGCAGCATTCCTGGACACAGCTTGGAGTAGGAGACCTCATGGAGCAAAGGTGAAACCAAAATGGTGTCTTGTATGACCTGGAAGTGGATCTCATGCAAATGCTGACCTCGAACAGTCTATTCGTCTGACCAACAAAGGTAAGTAGGGAAAGGGGGGAATCCCTTTTATAGGTCTGTAGCCCCTGCCACAACTTCAGTCCATGCCTTCCAATATATGGTAAAAGGTTGGTCCAGAGGTAAAAAATGCCCTGGAGAATTGCCACTAATACAACAGATATAGATAAAGTGGAGGAAGCCAATAAGGGTGAAGCGAAGTGAAGCACTATCCTCTTGCAAAGGATACAATTGATCTAATGTTCATCACAACATAGTATCTCATAAAGAGAAGAGAGGATAGTGAAACATAGGATATAGAATTGAAAAAGTGGTGCTCTCAGCAATACACATAAACTTGGCTTGGTCTCAAATATAATGCGGGACCAGTTAAATGTTACCCCAAAATAAACACCAGAAGTTAATATCATGGCAGAATCAATAAAGCTGGTAGAATCAGGATAATATAATAAGTGAAATAAACTGCCTATGTTTCCTAATAAACTGCCTGGTGATACAATGTATCAGTAGTGAATAGGTTCTGAGAAGGAGAAAATGTAGCTGTGCCTTCGAGGGCCCCTGTCTAGCGTGAGAAAATGTAGCTAGCTAACTGCATTGGTCTGAAATCCCCTGTAATGTCAGGTGAGGGTATTCAGGCTGACTGTGCTTCGAGGGCACCTATCTGTAGGTCAGTAGCTAGCTACTTGTCTGCCTCAAAAAGAGAAGGTGCTGTCCAAAAAATGACCCTAATCACCGCTTTCCTGTTAGTTTAAGCGAGGTGCAGCAGATCCCTTGTGCTGGAAACTCAGTGAGATAATGCTCCATTTGTCAAAGTGGTGAGAACGGTCAGAATGATGAAATGAGCTCCGACGCGCATTTCGCCGGTCTGTGGCTCTTCAGGCGAAACGCGCACCCTGGCGAAACGCACGTCGGGGCTCATTTTTCACGCAAGATGCTGCCAAGGAGCTTGTTCATGCTCTGGTAATGTCTCGCATGGACTACTGTAACTCTCTCGTAGTTGGTCTTCCCAAAAGCTGAACTGCCCCACTAAAATTGGTAATGAATGCTGCCGCCAGGCTGATCTTATTCAGCCGTCACTCCTCCCATACCTCGCCCCTCTGTTGATCCTTACACTGGCTTCCTGTATCCTATAGGTGTCAATTCAAAATACTAAACCTTACCTATAAAGTTCTAACCAACTCTAGCTCCTCTTACATTTCTTCCCTTATCCATAGATATGCCCCTTCTCGTTCTCTCCGCTCTTCCGGTGCCCTTCTCCTGTCCGCTGCTCGCACCCTTACAGCTAACTCACGCTTTCAGGACTTCTCGAGGCTTTCTTTAGGAACAGCCTGCCTACCCCCATCAGACTCTTCCTTAGTCTTCAATTATTTAAGAAGTCCCTCAAAGCATATATGTTCGGAAATTCTTATGGACTCCCAGAATAACTGATCTATACTTATCCAAATCTATCTATCGCTCTCCTAAAAGAGCAATACTCTACTCTCACCTCAAGCTCTGCTAATTTTCCACCTTGTTTGGTGGCTGTCACAATTGCTGCCCTGTTGTGTATTTCTACCCCACCTCCTCTAGACTGTAAGCTCGTTTGAGCCGGGTCCTCAACTACCTATTGTTCCTGTGTCACTGTGTAATTGTCTCATTTATTGTAAATTTCCCATTTCATAATATTGTAAAGCGCTGAGAAATTAGTTGGAGCTATATAAATACCAATAATAATAACCAATCATAATTACTGATAAACAACACTCTTCTTCTTCAGTCATTATTTTCTCTTACTGCCTGCTAACTTTGACTTTTCTAACTCCCCCCATTCATTTCTCCCCATATTTTCTCACTCTTTCCCCCACGATTACAGAACCCTGATATATATTTATATATTTTATTGCAGCCACGTCTAATACCCTGTGTGCATCTCCTATAAAATAATAGCAACCAATTATAACTAGTTTTATACAGATATAATGTCTGATAATCTATGGACAATGGAAATTTAAAGCACAATATATTGTAAAATTACAATGTTGTAGGTGTGTGGCGTTAAAGTAATAAATTGGTTCTGTCACTTTACAGGTTTTGCTTTAAAACTATGTTTAAATAAATATCTGTGCCTCTATTTCTCCTAGTTTTTGTTTTTTTCCTTAGTTTATAGTAATACAGAAGAAAAAGTGGGCACTATTTTTTCTCAGAGGGAGCGTGATCTTTGTCAATATGTAACATTAGGCGGAACACAATCAAAGTTCCATTTCAGCTGCTAAACTAATTTACCTACAATCCATCTGTCAAACGTGTCCCATAAAATGGCAAAGAAGAGAATTCCTATAGAGAGGTGAACATATTGGGGACGCCCAGATAGTCAGATCCAGCACAAGGAAGAAAAAATAATAAATATAATAAAAGCAAAAAACAAAGAAGGAAATACCATCATTGAGATATAAGGTGCATGAGGATTCAAAACCGAAATAAATAAAAGCCATGACAGTGCCACTTTAACCGAAAAAAAGGGCTGATTACAGAATAGACATGTTAATCAATCCTATCATTATGAATCCACTAATTAACCCACCAAATCGTTATCCTAGAAATCAGATATTTTGTAGCAAAAAGACAAACATAATGTACAGACATGTTCAACTTCACTGACGCACTATCTACATAAACAACTAATGGCAGAACAATGAAGTGAGAAATCTTCCCCCGAGTCCCCCGTGCCTTTTACCTGTCCCAATGCAGAGTGTGGTGAGCACCACGATGATCTTAATGGTATCCATGATCGCTTCAAAGGAACAAGTGGTACCGTGCAGCCAGGCTGCTCCGTATTTAAGGGATTCTGTGTTTGGGAAGTCTGGTTTCTATGAAGACGGCTGATTAGTGTTATTAGAAGGAACATGTTGAATTTCAACACGTTCTCTATTCTAAACACACATTGCTGAAAAGATTGACAAGCTCTGCTATTGGCACTGAGGCGTGGCTGCTAGGCAGCAATCATTGTTGTAGAAGCTGTCCACCGCGATTCAGGTGAAATTCTCAAACAACCTTGTTAACCTATGGCCTCTGCCTTTTTTTTCAGGAAGAACAAATATTTTCTCCTGTCACAGATGTACCAAGTGCACATTACTGTCACAGTCATGTTGTGTGCACTTGGTACATCACAGGCTTCCAGTAACAAAAACACCAGAAATAAACACAAACGTCCAGTAACAAAAACACCAGAAATAAACACAAACGTCCAGTAACAAAAACTACAATAAACACAAACGTCCAGTAACAAAAACTACAATAAACAACTCGCCTTCAAAGAAAGCCACGCTCCGAGCACCTTGACCACCATAGCTAATGTCCTAGAATATGCAAAATTACTTTAATTATCATAGATTTATTCACCTGCCAATAGGGAAATAAAAAGGAAATGCGCTTATAAAATAAAACTAAAAAACATTCAGTAGAGAAAATAGAAAAAATAAAAAAACATTATTGTCAGGCAGTGGCGAAAGCTATTTGATATCCGCCATAGTAGGAGCTAGTCTCCTAGGGGCACCACAAATCTACATTTCTATATACATATGTATATTCCTTTTTTAATGTACATTTTTATAGATATGTTTTAATGTACATTTTTATAGATATTTTTTAATGTACATTTTTAAGGCGCTAAAGCCCTTCCTCTGGGATGTAGAAACCTGTAATGAAATCTCAGTCCTGGGTGAGGACTCCCATCTGCTTTAACCATAGCGGACAGTAAAGATTTTAAGAAAATATTAACAAACCATATTATATGGTAATAAAAGAATACAAAAAAGGGAAAAACAGAAATGACAATATAATCACCAAAAAAAAAGCTATTACAACGTTGTCATCTTTGCTCACTCATTTATAATTACCATTTAATTACATGTTAAACCCCATGAAATGTCATTAAGGCCAGTACAGAGTGTGCGCTGCAATTAAATTATTATTATTATTATTATTATTATTGGCATTTACATAGCACCAACTTATTCCGCAGTGCATCACAGTATTATAAAGGGGGGTTTTTAGCAATAAATTAGACAATTGCAAAATGTCACAGGAACTATAACTTGACAAGCCTGTACAGCAATGATGTTCCATTTACGGTGAACCATAGGTAGATCCCCAGACCTCCCGCACACTTTCACATCTTCCCCGGGCCTAAAGTCCTTTAAGACTGTGGTTACCAACCCAGTCCTCAAGTACCCCCTAACAGTCCAGGATTTAGGGATTACCCTGTTGTGTCTAAGGTGTTTTTAGAAAGAGAAAAAAACACTTTCGACACAACAGGGTAATCCCTAAATTCTGGACTGGTAGGGGGTACTTGAGGACTGGGTTGGGAACCCCTGCTTTCAGAGATCCCTCTCTACAAATCTCAAAACAGAACGCACGTGTCATGGTTGATTATATATTTCCTACCTGTATTAATTGTTTTTGTATTTTGTATTGTACCATAATGTCTCAATGCAATGTTTTGTGGACCCAGGACATACTTGAAAACGTGAGAAATCTCAGTATCTTTCCTGGTAAAATATTTTATAAATAAATAAATAAATAAGTAATGTTTTAAAACTACAGCTTTCATGATGCGTTGTCGTTCTAAAGACATGCTAAAACCTTGCAAAGCATCATGGGAGTTGTAGTTTTACAACATCTGGAGATCTACCTTTCAGGCACCCCTTATCGACATCATACAGGACCTCTGCCTCATAGACCATAACTAATCCATTGTCTCGTGGGCCATAACTTACACTGTCTCGTAGACCACAACTGACCCTCTGCCTTCATGGACTACGACTTGCCCTCTGCCTCGTGGGCCATAACTAACAATCTGCCTCGTAGGCCACAACTGACCCTCTGCCTTCATGGGCGACAACTAACTCTCTGCCTCGTGGGCCACAACTGACCCTCTGCCTTTATGGACCATAACTGACCCTCTGCCTCATATACCATAACTAACCCATTGCCTCATGGGCCATAACTAACACTCTGCCTCGTGGGCCATAACTGACCCTCTGCCTTCATGGACCTCAACTGGCCCTCTGCCTCATGGGCCATAACTAACAATCTCCCTCGTAGGCCACAATTGACCCTCTGCCTTCATGGACCACAACTGGCCCTCTGCCTCGTGGGCCATAACTGACCCTCTGCCTCGTGGGCCACAACTGACCCTCTGCCTTCATGGACCACAACTGGCCCTCTGCCTCATGGGCCATAACTAACAATCAGCCTCGTAGGCCACAACTGACCCTCTGCCTTCATGGACCACAACTGGCCCTCTGCCTCGTGGGCCATAACTGACCCTCTACCTCGTGGGCCATAACTGATACTCTGCTTAGGCTCCCAGATATTGCTGGCATAGTAGCTGTCTGTCAGTAAGGCTGCCTTGTTATTGTGGTGACGTTTTGACATCAGCCACAGATGGTACAGTCAGAGCACAATGCCTGCAGAATTGAAAGTTTAGAAAACATGCAATTTATAGTGGAATTTGCTTCATTGTAATGCCTGCAGCCAGTGTGATTGAACTGTGCAGTGCACACAGGGTTATTCACAAGTGAGCAGGGAACTGGGAAAAAAATTCGGCCCAGGCATTTTTTTAAAACAGCGACCCAGTGAGATCGGGGCGGCCAGTTATGGGTTATTTTGATGTCACACATGACAAGCACACCCCACAAAACATGCGCAGAGCCCTGCTGACGAGATCGTGCATGAGAAAAAGGCCCTGAGTTTGATCTGCAAAGCACAAGCAAATTTAAAGCTTGCACTGTGTCAGCTCGTGGCTTGTGGTATCTCCATGCGTGGGATACCGGAGAGCAAAAGGACAAGGAAAGGGTATTTGCATGGTGTAGGAGTCTGCTTGTGGGATTGCGTTTGTGTTGAGTGAGCGGATTGCGGTGCGGTGTCTTGTTGTGTAAATAGCTTGGTTTTATTCGTGTTGTGTTTGTGGTGTAAAATTTGTGGTTAGGGGCTGTAGAATGAGAATGTGTGTGTGTGTATAGGGATAATAGAGTGTATATAGTGTGTGTATATATATATATATATATATATATATATATATATATATATTGTAACAAGCCACCTCTTTTACTGGTAGGATTGTCACAGATCTTGCAGTAACCACAGCCTTCTAGGGTATACAAAGCCCAGGACACATTCAGTTCGGTTTTCATTTTTATTTGATAGGAAAAGCAGATGCTTTAAATATTAACAAACAAACAAAATTCCTTGCTCTTACTTGAGCTCTTACTAGACAGAAATCACTATCTGTAATTGGGTGGCTTTCCCACTTACCAATTTTCCAAAAAAAAAAACTAAATAGAATTTGCAATAAACACACGTGTTGTTCTCTCTCCTTCAGCTCTCCTAGCTGGCTTTTTCTCCCTCACTCTGCAGCGGGCTGATCTCTTCTTTTAAAGGCCTGCCTGCTAATTGACCAGCTACAGGTGAGTGCCAATTAGTTAACTCTGGAACTCCTAAGGTATATGCACAAGATCTGGTCTGGCTGTTATATAGCAACTAGTGCTATTGGAGCACTGGCCCACCCTGCTCTCCAAATGCTCCGCACCAGGGACCCTTACCATGGTTTGCAGAGTACCAACAATGTATCTTGCAAACCTAACATCTCTCACTGCGGCATTTAATTGAGAAACCTCAGGCTGCTGTTTAGTAAATCAGGCCTAATATATATTACCTCAACAACCATTTCACATTTTCTCTCACAATATATAGATAGATATATATATATATATATATATATATATATATACATACAGTGTGTTTGAATGTAAGCATGTTTTTGTATGGAGTATATACATGTACTCACCCTGACACAAACAGATACACAGTCACTCATGTACAAACACTGACACAGAATACACACAGACACAAACACAGATACACACACTGATACACAGATACACACACACAGATAAACTGACATACAGACACACACACACACACAGACATACAGACACAGATACACACAGACATACTGACACACACATCCACACACACCCACAGATACACACAGACATACTGACACACAGACATACTGACACACAGATACACACAGACATACTGACACACAGATACATTGACATACAGACACACACATACATACTGACATATACAGATGCAGGTCACTTTTTGGCCGCCCTCCTGTTTCTTACCTCTTGGGTGCAGAAGGGTGGCTGGGACTGTTGACAGCTGGCTCCCTCCTCCTCACTGCCTCTACTCTGTCTCCACTATCGAGCGCAGAGTAAGCTGAGATGAAGTGACTAGCTGTCACCTCCTCCCAGCAACGGCTGTCATCTTTAACAGAAGACATATGCTTATTAAGTGACCCTAAGTGCATGGGCCACCCGTTGGGCCCCAGTGCAGTTGCACTGGTGGCAGATCTGCAGCTACAGATCAGGAATGTGGGGCCCAGGACTGCTGGGCCCATGACAACCGTCATGGTTGTCACTTCCTGATGGCGATCCAGGCTGTCACTAGGACTTCCTGGGTTCGGTCATTCAAAGATTTGCTCAAAGTATCTCTATAAGGAGATGCTGATTAGTGCAGCATGGCGATGTGTTGCGCATGCACAAAGCCTGCCCAATGCTTCCTTCGGGGGAAGCATTGAATTGGTTGAAATTGTCAGTATTGATATTCTCAGCCGAGTAGGTGGGGTAGCAGAACCAAGCGCACCAGGAGAAATAAGGTAAGTTTAACTTTTTGTGTAACGCTCACAGGGAGCCTCATAACTTGTATTTCTAATGCTATTGTTTTCATTGAGATCACAATGTTTCCAGATTTATTGATAAATTCACGTACAAAGTGATGTTTTATGTTATAATTAGTTTAATGAAGTTTCACATGTTTGGTTACAGTTTATGAACCATTTAACATTCACACAGAATTCTTTAGCAGGGCTAAGATTAGTCCAGCGGTCACAGCCAGGATGGTGACTCCAGATTTGATGCTGGTGGCGCCACTCGTGTTGCACAGGTCAGTGGTGCAGCAAGACACAGAACTGGAGGCCAAGGAGGAGGATCCAGCACTCACAGCCGTACAGGCCGCCGCACACGTCTTAGTGATTGAAGCAAATGACACACTAGCTGCAGTACAGAGAGAAAGACATTTTATTGGCAATTACTTACTACAAGACTGACAAAGGAATATGCTGTGATGAGTGAACGTGCTGTAATAAGGGAACGTGTTGTGATGAGGGAACGTACTGTAATAAGGGAACGTGTTGTGATGAGGGAACGTACTGTAATAAGGGAACGTGTTGTGATGAGGGAACGTGCTGTAATAAGGGAAAGTGCTGTAATAAGGGAATGTGCTGTGATGGGGGAACGTGCTGTGGTGAGGGAACGTGTTGTGATGAGGGAACGTGCTGTGATGAGGGAACATTCTGTAATAAGGGAACAGACTGTGATGAGAGAACGTGCCGTGATAAGGGAACGTGCTTTGATGAGGGAACGTGCTGTGATGAGGGAACGTGCTGTGATGAGGGAACGTGCCGTGATGAGGGAACGTGCCATGATGAGGGAGCGTGCTATGATGAGGGAACGTGCTTTGATGAGGGAACGTGCCGTGATGAGGGAAGTGCCATGATGAGGGAGCGTGCTATGATGAGGGAACGTGCTGTGATAAGGGAACGTGCTTTGATGAGGGAACGTGCTGTGACTTTTTCAATGTTACTGTATACAAACAGGGCTCTCAGATGGTTTTATTAACAGATAAAACAGGCCATATAAACCTTACTCTCTGTAATTAGCGAATTGGCAGCCCCTGTATCTAAACCGCCTGCAATGTCATTCCTTATAATCAGCCTAAATAAAAACATCACTGTCTGTGCATTGACCACCTGTATGAATTATCTCAACCTAGTTACAAAACAGCAAGATCTGAAATGGAGTGCAAGCTCTGTTGGTAAATTTAAAGTGCAATGTTCAACAAACACATTTTTAGGATAAGCTGTGCAAGTCCCCACCTCTTCTGACAGGGGCCTTCATAGATTTCCATGAAGGAAACAGTGGTTGAACAGCACATACTTTGTTTATAGCTCCGTTAATGATAAAAATAAATCATGAATTTAAACTGCCGTCATTTTCTTCAGCGGTATTATGAAGTGTGTTTCCCACAATACTCTCCTCTACCCTTTATTGCATTAAAGTTTATTTATGCATGTTTTCTAAATAATTCGTTATCTAATTACTGTATCATGTTGAAGCCTTTTTGTAAAGATAGTTGTTTAGGATCTTACCAACTCCAGCAGATGTGGACGAGGTCATACAGTACGTCTGACCAGTGGTGCAGTTAGTGGTTGTGGTCATACAGTTGGCATTTGAGGTCTGGCCCGTACACGTATAGCATTGTAAGGACATAGCTGTGAACAGAGGAGAAATTATGTCATTCCATGTTTAAAGTAAATTGTGTCACTCTGGTGAAAACTATTAAATCTCTTTCCTGTGTGACCTTACCGTCCACGGTGTCTGACACTGATTGACAAGCTCAACCAAAGAAAAACACAGTGAAAACATTGATGGCAGACGTCAGAACAGCCAAAACAGGAGCACGGATAGCATGTTATGTGATCAGATAAACCACCATCGGTGTGTTCTAAGAAATACCATAAAATGAATAGTGCAATATTTACATTGACCACAGAACCACAACTCCCAAGATGCTTTGCCAATATTAAAGCTATAGTCTTGCAGTTCCATCCTCCGAATGCGCCGCATGTGCTATTGTCTATTACAATGTAAAAATGTAACCATGGCAACCAATATACAGCCATATTAACCCTCTCACTCCCTGGATCACGCAGAAATAGCCAGGAAAATCAGTGAAAGTGAAGGAGAATTGCTCAATAGTGACTACTGATAGCTGATAATAATTACTGACAACCAATAATAATTAATGATAGCCGATGATAACTACTGATAATCAATACCAACCAGTAATAACCAATAATAATAATTACAGATACTCAATAATAATTAGTGATAGCCAATACTAACTACTGATAATACCAGCTACTGCTAACCAATAATAATTACTGATAATAACTACTGATAACAATAATAAATACTGATAGCCAATAATTATTACTGATGATTATTGATAACAATAGTAACTACTGATAAGAACTACTGATGACAATGATAGATACTGATACCCAATAATATTTACTGATATCTATAATAAATACTGATAACCAATAATAATTACTGATGATAACTACTAATAACTGATCAGAATTACTGATAACAATAATAAATACTGATAGCCAATTATAATTACTGATGACCAATAATATTTACTGATAATAGAAACATAGAAACATAGAATGTGACGGCAGATAAGAACCATTCGTCCCATCTAGTCTGCCCAATTTTCTAAATACTCTCATTAGTCCCTGGCCTTATCTTATAGTTAGGATAATAACTAGTGATAACTGGTCATAATGACTGATAACTAGACTGTAAGCTTGTTTGAGCAGGGCCTCCATCTACCTATTGTTCCTGTGTCACTGTGTAATAAATTGGTTCTGTCACTTTACAGGTTTTGCTTTAAAACTATGTTTAACCCCTTAAGGACACATGACATGTGTGACATGCCATGATTCCCTTTTATTCCAGAGGTTTGGTCCTTGAGGGGTTAAATAAATATTTGTACCTCTATTTCTCCTAGTTTTTGTTTTTTTCCTTAGTTTATAGTAATACAGAAGAAAAAGTGGGCACTATTTTTTCTCAGAGGGAGCGTGATCTTTGTCAATATGTAACATTAGGCGGAACACAATCAAAGTTCCATTTCAACTGCTAAACTAATTTACCCACAATCCATCTGTCAAACGTGTCCCATAAAATGGCAAAGAAGAGAATTCCTATAGAGAGGAGAGCATATTGGGGACGCCCAGATAGTCAGATCCAGCACAAGGAAGAAAAAATAATAAATATAATAAATATAATAAAAGCAAGAGACAAAGAAGGAAATGCCATCATTGAGATATAAGGTGCATGAGGATTCAAAACCGAAATAAATAAAAGCCATGACAGTGCCACTTTAACCGAAAAAAAGGGCTGATTACAGAATAGACATGTTAATCAATCCTATCATTATGAATCCACTAATTAACCCACCAAATCGTTATCCTAGAAATCAGGTATTTTGTAGCAAAAAGACAAACATAATGTACAGACACGTTCAACTTCCCTGACGCACTATCTACATAAACAACTAATGGCAGAACAATGAAGTGAGAAATCTTCCCCCGAGTCCCCCGAGTCCCCCGTGCCTTTTTACCTGTCCCAATGCAGAGTGTGGTGAGCACCACGATGATCTTAATGGTATCCATGATCGCTTCGAAGGAACTAGTGGTACCATGCAGTCAGGCTGCTCCGTATTTAAGGGATTCTGTGTTTGGGAAGTCTGGTTTCTATGAAGACGGCTGATTAGTGTTATTAAAAGGAACATATTGAATTTCAACATGGTTACGTATCTATTCTAAACACTCATTGTCATAGAAGCTGTCCACCAAACTTCAGGTGTAATTCTCAAACCCCATTGTTCACCTATGTCCTGGGGCAATTTTTTCCTAAGTTATGGGACTGTCACGTTACATGCACTTGGTACATCATAGGCTTCCAGTAACAAAAAACTACAATAAACAAATGGCCTTCAAACAAAGCCACGCTCTGAGCACTCTGACCTAGAATATTCAAGATATCTTTAATTATCATATACTTTTCTTCTTGCTAATAGAGAAATAAAAAGGAAAATTTGCAAAAAAATGTATTTTAAAAAATAAGATAAAAACTATTCAGTAAAGAAAATAGAAAAAAAAAATCATTATTGTCAGGCAGTGGAGGAAGCTTTAAGTGACATCTGCCATGGTAGGAGCTAGTCTGCTAGGGGCACCACAAATCTACATCTCTATATACATTTGTATATTCATTTTAAGATACATTTTTAATGAACATTTCTATATACATTTTTATAGACAGTTTTATAGAAACATTTTAATGTACATTTTATACACATTTTTAATGTACCTTTTTGTATACATTGTATATCCATTTTTTACAGTACATTTTATATACATTCTTAAAGGACCACTATAGTGCCAGGAAAATATACTCGTTTTCCTGGCACTATAGTGCCCTGTGGGTGCCCCCACCCTCAGGGTCCCACTCCCGCTGGGCTGGATGGGGAGGAAAGGGTTAAATCTTACCTCTTTTCCAGCACCGGGCGGGGAGCTCTCCTCCTCCTCTCCGCCTCCTCTCCTCCTCTTCAGCTGAATGCGAATGCGCGGCAGGAGCTGCGCGCGCATTCAGCCAGTCTTTCAGCCAGTCTCATAGGAAAGCAATATAATTTACAGTATCCACAAAAAATGGTAGCCTTTAGAAAGTACAGGTACACAACGAGCAATATGAATGCCCCAATTCAGAATGCTTCTTAATGGTGCAATGAAATTCACTCAAATACACTGGCAATTAGAATGTCTATCCACCTGTATTCAATCCTCTAACAGTGCTGTTGTGGGTGCTGGAATGTATCCGAACCTTCCTCGTGGAAATCTGGTTGCACAAGCGGCGTTCTCATCCTCCCCGGATACTAATATGGACAAATCCTCTGAAAGGCACAGCTTAATTTTTTCCTTACACCATTTTAAGTGTCCCTAAACATCGGAGACGTGATTTTGAAGAGTCAGATATAAGGTTGTAGAACTGCGATGTAATCAGATTAGAAAATCCTGTGAATGAGAAAGATCGGGAGAGACTAAATTGAATCGAGAGAGAGGGTGCCACCAACTCTGACCATTTTTTATCCCACATTTTCAGGCGAAATAACTAGGATGAAGTTTTGGGTTAGTTTGTATAGTCCATATTTTGCATTTAATAATGGTTGGAATCATAGTCAACGTTACTCACTTCAATTCACAACAATTCTCAGTTAAAGGGACACTATAGTCACTAGAATTACTATAGTTTAATGGGATTCTATAGTGCCAGGAAAACAAATCTGTTTTCCTTGCACTGCAGAATCTTATAGTGCCCCCCTCCCTCGCACCCCACTCCCGCGCGGTGAAAGGGGTTGAAACCCATTCAATCACTCACCTGAATACAGCGCCGATGTCCCTCGGTGCTGGGTCAAGCTCTTCCCATGCTCCTAATGCGCATGCGCGGCAATTCCTGCACTCACATTAGGATTCCCCCATAGGAAAGCACTATTGAATGCTTTTCTATAGGGAAAATCTGACACTGGAGGTCCTCATACAGAGCGTGAGGACGTCCAGCATCAGGTAACAGACCAAAGGTCAGTTTCAATTCCTATAGTCCCACTAGTGGCTGTCTGCCAGACAGCCACTAGAAGAGGAGTTAACCCTGCAAGGTAATTGTTGCAGTTTCTCAGAAACTGCAATAATTACTATTGCAGGGTTAAAGGACATGGGACATTGCACCCAGACCACTTCAATGAGCTGGAGTGGTTGGGTGCCTACAGTGACCCTTTAATGTCCCTGCAGGATTTTTTATGTTAACACTGTCTATTTAGAGAATATGAAGTGTTTACATTACTGCATAGGAACACCAGTAGTGGCAGTCACTCAGATGACCACTAGAAGTACTTCCTGGGTCTGTGCTCTATGAGGAGATGCTGATTGACGCAGTTAAGTGTTTTGCTGTGTGTGAGCAATTGCCTCCCAATGCTTTCCTATGAAAAACATTGGATATGATAAAATAAGCAAAAGTGATGATTTCAGCCATAAAGGGCGAACCAGGCGGAGCCAGATGTGGGAGAAGAGGGAGAAGAGGTGAGTAACATCACCTTTAATCTCTCAGAGAGAGGAAGCCAGGACCTAATGCTGCATTCCAGCACTATAGTGTCAGAAATACATGTAGTGTACCTTTAAATTAATAAAATGGTTGAAATAAAATGAAGACGCCATGCTTCCTGTTTGGCTCTTTTGGTGCTAATTTGAGATCCACTCTGAGTTCCTGATAATTCTCACATTAGTAAATAAACCTGACAATGTGGCAGAACGACCACCCTAAGCAGCCAAATGGCTTTTTTTCACTTCTAAGGTAAAACACGGATTGATTTGAAGTCGAGTTTTAGCTCCATTTAATATTAGATTGCGTACACACCATGAGAAGTACACAGTGTTCCATCTACCAATGTATGCAAGTTGTTTAAGCTGTGCCATCCCTAACAGTCTCGCTGCAATGTCTCTTTTCTTATGTTAAGTCTTTTTTGATAAACGACACAAAATCTCTACTTCTTTTGATCCATAACCGTTCCAGTTCCCAAAACTGACAGGAAGGGCCACAGTCAGTGATCCATATTTTTATACTGAAGTAACATAAGTGAAACTCTTTCCGGTGCAAACAAAGAACAGAATACCTACCTGCTACCTACCTGTGCATGTCCATTAATGCCATGCCACACTAAGATGGCAAAATTATCCTTTGGAGCGTACTTGAAGGGCATATTTGATGGAATTCCAGGGTTCTCTAAATTAAAAGTGCAATATATGCACCCAGACCACTTTATCCCCATGGAGTGGTCTGGGTGCAGTGCCCCTGGCATTTTGCTCCCGCATTTTGGAGTTGTGGCAATGTTTTAGTTGTGGGATAATCACACACTAGTGGTGGTTACACTGAGAGCCATTAGATGGTGCTTTCACAGTAAGGACAGAGTCAGACTTCGCAATGATGTTCAGTGACATCACGCATTGCATGCCATTATGTTGCTTCCAACGTTTGTCAGAGAAGCCTTCGATTCAGTGGTTTTCTGTAAGAAGTATTTGATTAGCAGAGAGCAGCAAATGCCGCACATGTCCTTTTTGTCTACATTGCCTCTCTATGAGAAGCATCAGACAGCCTGAGAAATTAGTAAGACATCAGCAGGTGGATTGGGCGGCTGGAGAGACTGGCAGCCAAACCAAAGCCAAATCCGATCGGAACCTGATCAAATCTGCACCAATCAGCCGGATGCATCTGAACTCTATAGAGTAAAGGATTCAGAATATTCATAAAACACTGATTTTAAAAAATTCAGGGCCGATCGCATCCAGCAGTTGCACATTATTGTTATTATTATTATAATTATTGACCTTTATGTAGCGCCAACTTATTCTGCAGCGCATTACAATATATTATTATCCACATGCTTTTTTGTTAGCGAAGGATAATGTGAAGTACTATTTGCAGCCAGTGGACGAACAGCTAAGAGTCCTATGGCAGTTAATTATGTGGTCACTGGCCAGTGCTTGCTAGCCAGCACCGTTAAAATATATATATAAAAAAAGAGAGAAATGCAGTCAAAAACTAGAATGAACAAATGGTCAATGTAGGTAATGGAAACGAGAGATAGAGAGAGGGGAGGGAAAAAAAGAAATATAAACTGATGGAAAACTAACAAGAAATATATACATTGTATACCGTGACTCTGCTGTTACATTTCTGTAAGTGTGATTTGAGCGATAAGTTTTGTTAAACACTATAACCCTAACTTTACAATACGAACGCATTATTAACCCGTAAACTCTGTGAAGGACAGAATATTTGCAGTTTATGACATTGCCATGTGTTTACTTTATATAAAATGTCTGTCAACAATACTTTACATTTTATCTTAAATAAACTTATCCTGAATTATACTGATAAGCTGCAGTGGCGGATCCAGAGCCTGATCTCGGGAGGGGCACTGGTAGATTATTTAAATAAATAATCCAGGCACAATAACCACTACAGCTCAGTGTAGTAGTTGTTGTAGAATTATTAGGCCTCTATAAATCTGTAAGGCCCCTTTAAATCCTCTTGCTATACCTCTAAGAGGCCCCCATAGTTTTACAAGAAAGCTTTGTCTATAGAACATAGAATTTGCATGCCAGCAAGAAATAGCTTTGATAAAATGTGTATTTACTAAAAGCCTTGAAACCTAACCTTGAGAAACTAACAAGTGCCAGCTACGCTCTAAATGGATAGCTGCCAAAAGGCCCCTCCCGTCGAGTGAGCTCCTCATGTTAGCAAAATGGCGCTAAAACCTGGAGGAGTTAAAAATGACGAGGATAGTGACTTAAGATGGTACACCCCATAGGGAGGGCATTTTACTAACATCTTAGCACCTAAGCCAATTAACAATGTCTATTTGTCTATATCTTGATTTTCTTCAATGATGTAATAATGTCTTTAAAAGGGTCTGCGCACCCATTTTCTGTCAGAAGCCATTAAACTTCTCCGAAGTTCTTTCATTAACCTGAACTTTGTGTCTCAGTGTGAATTTACTTCTGCGTGCACGCAACTTTTATTATCTTTAATTTGGACAGGAACAGATAGTCATTCAAACTAATTGGTTTGCAGTAAATTATCTACAACAGTAGTTATGGTGTCAGTAGTGCCAGGATTCCACCCCAGAGTAAGTAGTCATACCGTTTAAGAACAGTTTGACAACTTACCTGGGGTCTGCTGGGATATAGGGTATAGGAGCAGTGGTGTGTGTTAAGGGTGAAGTGTGTGAGTGCGGCAGTGTATGTCAGGGACAGTGTTTGTGGGGCAGTGTGTGTATGGGGACAGTGTTTGTGGGGCAGTGTGTGTATGGGGGCAGTGTGTGTATGGGGACAGTGTGTGTATGGGGACAGTGTTTGTGGGGCAGTGTGTGTATGGGGACAGTGTTTGTGGGGCAGTGTGTGTATGGGGACAGTGTGTGTATGGGGGTGCAGTGTGTATGGGGACAGTGTGTGTGTATGGGGCAGTGCAGTGTTTGTGGAACAGTGTGTGTATGTGGGGAAATATCAGTGTCGGGGCAGTGTGTGTATGGGGCAGTGTGTATACAGTGTGTGCATGGGGACAGTGTTTCCAGTGCGTGTATGGGGATAGTGTTTCAGGGCAGTGTATAAAGTGTTTGTGGGGCAGGTATGTGGGGGCAGTGTGTATATGGGGTATCAACCGCCTGTGGGAAGTGTGTGTTTGTGGGGCAGTGTGTGTATGGGGACAGTGTTTGTGGGGCAGTGTGTGTGTGTATGTGGGCAGTGTGTGTATGGGGGCAGTGTGTGTATGGGGGCAGTGTGTGTGTATGGGGACAGTGTTTGTGGGGCAGTGTGTGTATGGGGACAGTGTTTGTGGGGCAGTCTGTGTATGGGGGACAGTGTTTGTGGGGGGGCAGTGTGTGTATGGGGGGCAGTGTGTGTAATGGGGGCAGTGTGTGTAATGGGGGGGCAGTGTGTGTAATGGGGGGGAAGGAGGCTTTTAAATAATATTTTTATTTTATTTTATTTAATAAAATAAATATCCTATGTCCCCCCTCCCTTCTTACCTTTACTGGGGAGGAGGGGGGACATATTTCGATCCCTGGTGGTCCCAGTGGTGATTCCCTGGTGGTCCCAGTGGTTACAGTGAACTCTAGCCCGCGCTCCCGGGCTAGAGTTCACTCTCGCGAGATTTGGAGCGTTGCCGTGGTAACCGCGGCAACGCTCCAAATCTCGAGCGAGGAGGACCCGGAGGAGCTGCAGACTGAGCTCCGGGTCCTCCCTCTCACTCCCTCCCTCCCTCCGACGCCGGCTGTCAGCACAGTGTCTGCGGACCGGGGAAGGAGATCTCTGATCTTCCTCCCCGGTCCGCAGGCACATTGCACGGCTGGCAGGGGAGGGAGACCGGCGGATTTCTCGGGGGGGGGCAATTGCCCCGTTGCCCCCCCCCGGATCCGCCAATGATAAGCTGTCAGAATGGACCTTGATTTATTATGTTTGCTATTTGTAATTATTTACATAGTTACATAGTTCCATCTGCTGAAAAGAGACCTGCCTCCATTAATTTCAGCCTTTCTCACCTCTGGTTTTGCAGTTGTTACAAATTAGCCCCGTAAGGACGTAGCCAAATGTACACGTTGTGAACGAAACAAAATGTAAACAAAACCTGGCATTTGCGCTACATGTCTGTCCAACCGTAATTCACCTCTTTCGTAGTAAATGCACCCACCCTTATTATATATCATTTTATTCAGGGGAAACAGGGCTTTCATTTAATATCAAATATTTAGCTATGAAACATAATTTAATATGAAAAAAATGGGAGAAAATAAGATTTTGTTTAATTTTTTTAGTTCTACATGACATTTTAACTGTCAATGTCATAATACTGTTTACTTTTATTGCAATAAAATACACATATTTGTATTCAGTAAAGGCTCACGTGTAAGACAGTACCCCCTATGTACAGGTTTTATGGTGTTTTGGGAAGTTACAGGGTCAAATATAACACATTACATTTGAAATTGAAATTCACCAGATTGGTTACGTTGCCTTTGAGACTGTATAGTAGCCCAGAAATGAAAGTAATACCCATAATGGCATACCATTTGCAATAGTAGACAACCCAAGGTATTGCAAATGGGGTATGACCAGTCTTTTTTAGTAGCCATTTGGTCACAAACACTGGCCAAAGTTAGCGTTAGCATTTGTTTGTGTGTGAAAAATGCAAAAAACGCCAATTTTGTGACTAAGTGGCTACTAAAAAAGACTGGACATACCCCATTTGCAATACCTTGGGTTGTCTACTATTGCAAATGGTAAATTGTCTACTATTGCTTATCAACTGCAGACTGACATTGCATATTGCTGCCTAATTTGTCGTCTATAAAAATTCCCAAATCCTTCTAGTGTGTGGTTATCCCTAATTCCCTACCATTTAGTGTGTAAGTTGCTTGTGCATTCTTGACCCCGAAGTGCATAACTTCACATTATGTACACTATATTTCATCTGCCATTTGAGTGCGCAGTCCACCAATCTATCTAAATCTCTCTGCAGCAAAGTAATATTCTGCTTATACTTATAATTAATAGTTATATTTATAAATAAATGACACATGAATTAAACTCTAAAAATGTTATATTTAGAGTCTGCTTTTATAACATTGAATTGAAAGTCTGTGTTTATATATGTTGCGGGACCTGTGCTCTCTCTCTCTCTCTGTCTTTTGATGTAGCTCTGCGCTGTCCTTCACTATTTATTAAAAGGACACTATGATAATATAATAACCTTGTAAAAAGTCTCACATAGGGACTGAAATATCGACAGAAGGAGTGAAAAGGATTTAATCTTGCCATTCTTTGATAAACGTTAGTTCAAGTCGAAAGATTCACCACTTTAATATCATTATCACGACGTCCACATATTATTCTGTTCTTTAAAATACAGATATAATGAAAGGTACAGCAAAATTAACAAAAATACCTTATGTGTTTCTGGCTTTTCAGAACAGAATCATTTAGACAGGGGATAAGGGCGGGCAATTGCCCCATAGATTGGGCCTTGCTCCCCCATGTTCCCTCCATTAACACGGCTAGTGGGGAGATTAAATATTCTCCGGCCTGGCCTCCTGAATGCTGAGGTGGGGGAGGGAGAACGTCCATCCTTCTTTCGTATCAGAGCAGCGCTGCGCATTACCAAGGCAGCGCACTGATACATTCAAGCATACATACAAACAGGTTGTCCCACTGGACAGCCATGGTTCAGTATCCTCCCCTCAGTGGACAAACGGGATGGGGAGGATACTGAACCATGGTTGTCTAACATCTTAATAGGTTTTGTAACTGTTACTGTTTTGTAACTTCACATTATTGTTATTTTATGATACAGTATATAACTTAGCTATTGATACTCTTCCATGGATCATTTTACGGAGATCTTATTTGTCCAGTTTAAGGCGGCCAACATATAGACTTTAACTTGGGTTTTTTTTATGCTTGTTTTTTTAAATAAGTTTGTTTTTATATTGAAATGTACCTAACAAATCCTGAGCGTTTTTAATTTATTTAATTGTTCATGTACATAGTTTGTGCTACCTGTCACCTTTGAATTTACATTTTCGTTGAACTTTCTTTTTTGTGACAGATGAGCATTGTTTAGTTGATAAGTCCAGACTGCACAGCAGGAATTGTTATCTAGTGTCCCTATCAAATCTCTATCCCGGGGATCAAAGATAAGTCAATACTTGTTCTGTCTCCAGGGAGGATGATGGTCTTGTCTTTATACAATTACATCTTGACAACCTGAATAGGCAGGTAGGTAGCTGCAGGCCGGGTTTTCCAGAATAGGAGACATGAAGACATGTTTCTGGGTGGGAAACTCATTGTGTTGGTAGAAACCAACTGTCCCAAACACTGACACCTCTACAGAAAAAGCTTATAGCTTTCATGGTGTCCACTCGTTCACCCAACACTGACAATTAATCAGACTTGTTTTTATAGAGATTAAACCAAATGTTTACATTTCTTATAAAGCCCCTGTTTCTCTCTCTGCATCACCCATTACTGTACGTCCAGAGATAATTTAAAGGGACATCATAGTCACCAAAACAACTTTAGCTTAATGAAAAGGTTTTTGTTTATAGATCATAAACTCTGAAGTTTCACTGATCAATTCTCTGCCATTTAGGAGTTAAATTACTTTTGCTTCTGTTTACACAACCCTTGCCACACGTCCCCGGCTGTGACTCACATAGCTTGAATGGAAACGTGGTTTAATTTTTTATCAGATGTAACTTACTTTAAAAGTTTTTAACTCCTGAAATTTAATCACACACAGAAGGCTCATACAGGGTCTATCAAGCTATTAACAGAGCGGGAAATAAAAAAAAATACAAAATTTAAAAAAACTTGCAATAAAGAAAGTGTAAACATTAGATGATGCTTTACAGGAAGTGTTTAGGAAGACTGAGCAAGTTACATGCAGGGAGGTGTGACTAGAGCTGTATAAATATTAAAGTTAAAGTTGTTTTGGTCCCTTTAATCTCTCTAAAAGTGGAGGGACCATTCAATCCCCATCTAAAGGACACATTACTGTTTTATATATTTTAATAATTATATTCCACTCCCTCTGTAAAAAATAATTTCTCTTTCTAAATCCTTTATCCTCTTTCTGGATATTTGTTTTTATTTTATTTATATTTTATACAACCATAGTCTAACCCAGGGGTGTCAAACATGCGGCCCCCCAGATGTTGCTGAACTACAACTGCCATGATTCCCTGGCTATCTGTTTCATTGACAGAATCATGGGAGTTGTAGTTCAGCAACATCTGGGGGGCCGCATGTTTGACACCCCTGGGCCATCCCATTTTACAGTGCTACAGAATATGTTGGCACTATAGAAATAATAAAATAATAATTAAAAAAAAATAATCAGTCAGTCTCACTACTTAAAGGAATACTCCAAGCACCATAACCATTTAAATGTTTAAAACAAGCCGCCCCCTACTCTCTCTATTCCAACCCTGTCTGCGATGGCTCTGATCATGGGTGATACATTGGAGAGTTATTGGTATTGGGATAAAGCATTTAATGTAAGAATAATTCCTCCTGGAGTCCACTGGACCAAAAGGGAGGGTGGCTGGGTGGATTGAACTTTAATTTCTATTTATTTCTTTTTTTAAGTGTGTGTCTGTTAGTGGCTATGTTAGTATGTGTGTTAGTGTGTGTCTGTGTGTGTCTTTTAGTGACTGTGTTAGTGTGTGTCTGTTATTGAGTGTTAGTGTATCTGTTAGTGAGAGAGTGTGTGTGTGTGTGTGTGTGTGTGTCTGTTAGTGTGTGTTAGTATGTAGTATGTTAGTGAATGTTTCTCTGTCTATTAGAGAGAACAGAAGGCGTATACTGCGCCTAGTAATATCTATGTACAAAAAAATACATACATATATCCTTGAATATTCCGATCGTTTATAACCTCAAAAAGATTAAAATACAGAATAATAGTGCAATACAGTAAATTAAATATTTGGAATAAAATATAAAAATGTGAGCAATTATAGCTGTGTGCAATCCACTCACATTTGGATGAGCTATAACAGAGCTCTACTGTGAAGCGCCTGGACGGTACAATCCCCGTCTAAACATTCGTAGTAATTGCCACGGATGTTCTCAAGTTGCAGTGTGCATAATAGATATAAAAAGAGATAGCAGCAATATGGTGAAGTAAGTACTGATAGTATATTCAATAATAAAAGTAATGTACTTACAATTTCCAGAGCATATAACTTGCTCTAGTATAAACAGCCTAGGTGGTATAATCCCCACCAAGGATATGCAGGATCCAGGAAGTAAAGAAATAATATATATAAAAAAGTAACTTTAACAAAGTATACTTTAATATAATAAAATAAAACAATATTGGATAAAAAATATATGTATAAAAGTCCCACTTAACGCGTTTCGCCTAAACAGGCTTCTTCAGAAGTGTGGTGAGAAGTCCAAAAGTCCGTTTTTATATCCTGGTTAATGAGGTGATAGTTTCCTGATGAGTTACTTCCTGATTCTGAGCTCCGGTTGACACGCACGCGTCATACCGGAAGTGACGCGATACGCGCGTCACACCGGAAATGGCGTGCCGCTCACACCAAACTGGAATCTATTTGCGGCACAGAAAATAAAGAAAAATAACAATGTTATAGCGCATTGGGACGCACGCATCTCCAATATGTGGAGTGCGTAGCGTTCCGAGCGCTGCTCACTCTGAATAGCTCACAGAGTGAGATGTGGGCATGTGACATCATACGAACAGCCCGGCGGCCATCTTAAAAATGGGCAATCACAGACACAAAATAAATACTCAAATGCAGTCTATATGCAAAAAGAAGGGGCTTCTAAAAAGCATATACTTCCATTACAGAGATGATACTAATACAAAAATTAATAACATTAAAAGAAAAAGGTGTTCATGCTCTTATAACACATAAGGGGTCTGCAATGCAAATGTAAATCACAAGCATCAAAATTTAAGATGATACTAAAATAAGATCAATTAAAACAAATATATATATAAAACATATCTAGTATATAAACTATGCTAAAGGTATACAATATGCTAAACATAATTACAAGCATAAATAAAAATACACAAAAAGGCATAAAAAACATAAAAGGAACATAAAGATAACATAGAAAAGGCATGCCGCTCATATATCTTGAGTACTGTTATAAAAAAGATACTACGAACGAAATGTGCTGAAGGGGAGCAGGAAAAAATAAAAAATAAAAAAAAATTATAAAAAATTGTATAAATCGAATTCTGCATTTAACCCCTTAGGGTGCAGGGTATCTAACTGGTATACCCACTGCATTTCAGTTTGACCGATCTTTTTTATAACATCTCCTCCTCTCCAGTGATTTTTAACTATTTTAATCCCAATAAATGTGAGCTGTTCCTATCACTCTCTTTCTTTTTTATCACCACACATTCCCCAGATAGGCAGCCCCTATAGGTTGTTCAAATATGTCTCTATTCGAATATAGGGATAACTATACCATTAACATTAATGATGTCTTTAATGAATTAGATGAAATGAATACAAACGAACCACTAATTGTCTTTGATAATTTATCTGAATTACTAAAAGAATTAGAATTCTCCCTAACAAAAGAAATGAAATTAAGGTGGGAAATTGCAACTCTGACTAAATATGTAGAAGAAAAAATAACTCCAAGAGGTCTCAGATTATTTAAGATGCCTACTTCAGACACTGATAATAAAATATTCATGGAAGAATGGTACAACCATTTAGAGTATTGCACCTTTGGATTAATGAAAAGTCTCATTAAAGTTAAAAATGAAAAGCTATCTGTCATAGACAAAAAAATAAACACATTACGAGAACAATTAATCCCTTTTGGCGACACTGAGGAGTACTATAATGTATCACAAAAAATTTAAAAAACTGTAGAAAAAATTGAAACCGACACAAAAAGAATAAAGATTCAAAAGTACAATAGAGACAAATATGATTACGCACAAAAACAAGTTCGCACGTATAATATTAAGAAATCTAACACTCAAAACCAATGGAGAAATGGTACAACACATCACAATGTAAACACACAAGGAGGTTATCAAGTTAGACCTAAAAGGTTACAAAGCAAAGAATTCTATTATAGAAAATATTCTCACAATAACCATCAGAGATTACCAGACAAATCTCCTAGGTACAATATAAGAAATGAAAGACATGACACAAGAAATGATAAATTCAACACTAGACACTATCGAGACACCTATCCCCAAAATAAACCCCTAAATACACATTATTCAGAAAAAATTGAAGAACACATCAAACATAAGAAATTCACACAGGAATCACCTCTTGTTGTAAGACCCAAAACTCACAAATACACATATATGCCCGATTCTCCTAAACAGAGAAATAGAAAGTACTCCTGGGAAAATCCAAAGAAAACCTACAAAAGACGAGATGAAAATAAACCCCCATCACCACAAGATCTAACTAAGAACAACAAATATCATGTCCTATCTTTCTGTGATCAATTCGATGAAACATCTTTTTTAGAGATCCCCTCCAACAGAGAAAGACAGACTCACCACCTCAATATTACACCTATAAAAAGTCGCAAGAGAGGATTAGAGGGAGAAGATCTGGTAGAAGACAACAAAAAAGGAAGGCTAGAAAGCTTTTAGATAATAAAGCAGACGAGACACCCACTGGTATTTTTAATCTATCTAACAGAATTCTTAATACAACAGAGACAAATATTTTAAAACGAGGTTTAAAATTTGCCCCAACTAAAGCATACAATTCCTTTCTAGCCTATATAGATATTAACAAATTCGTTAGAAATGCCACTCTAAAACGTTTTTTTGTTAATAAAAATAACTCTAATCAAAATACAAATACTGTAAATACTAATATTAAAGAATATAAAAGCAGTGAATTAAGAAATAAATCCACTTTTTATCCTGCATATCTGAAATCCAGCGCACTGGATATATTCGAAAAGAAAGTATGTAAGGACTTAAAGATCTTAGATACAAAAAAGATAAGAGATAAACCAAATATGAATAAAAAAGAAATGAATATACTAAAAAATCTATATAATGATACCTCAATAGTAATTAAACCAGCCGACAAAGGTGGAGGCCTCGTTATTCAATCTAAAGAAAAATATGAAGCAGAGGCTTATAGACAGCTCAATGATCATAATACTTATATCAAATTAGATAAAGATCCAATAGTGGATATAAAATCCGAATTTTATAATTTTTTAAAAAAGGGTAAAGATATCGGTATTCTAAATGAAAAGGAGTACAACTATATAAAAGTACTATTCCCAAAGACACCAGTGATATACTTTCTCCCGAAAATCCATAAGAATTTAAATGACCCACCAGGGCGCCCTATTGTTTCGGGAATAGGATCCCTTCTTTCCAACCTATCTGAATATATCGATATAATGTTACAGTCGTACGTCAAACAAACAAGATCATACTTGAAAGATACAATAGATCTTTTAAGAAAATTGGAAACTATTACTTGGCAAAATGACTATATATTAATTACATGTGACGTACAATCACTATATATGATTATTCAGCATGATAAAGGATGCAGTGCTATTAGATCCATTTTAGAACGAGATGACTCTATGCTTCAGGAACAAATAGATTTTATTATCGAAGGTATAGATCTAATCTTGAAACATAACTACTTTTGGTTTAAAGATGGCTTTTACTTACAGAAAACCGGGACAGCTATGGGTACTAGGTTTGCACCCAGTTATGCCAACCTCTATATGGCGGAATGGGAAGATCGGTCCGTCTGGAGGGGGCATGACTGGGTGGAAAACCTGATATCCTATTCCCGGTATATAGATGACCTTCTGTTTATTTGGAAGGGGTCTGAGAGTTCAGCTAAGGATTTTATCTCTTTTTTCAATGATAACGAAGAAGGTATAGTTTTAACGGCAGATCTTAGTAGTACTATGGTGACTTATTTGGATTTAAATATATATATTGAGAATAATAAAATACAAACTAAAACACATTTTAAAGACGTAAATGTAAATAACTATATAAGTACTGATAGTTGCCACAATAAAATTTGGCTAGACAGTATACCCAAAAGCCAAATGATGCGCCTAAAAAGAAATTGCTCAGATAATTCTGTGTTTTTAAGACAAGCAGATACATTGAAGAAAAGTTTTATTCAAAAAGGCTATAATGCCAAACACATTGACTCAACTATTAACCAAACAGTTTCAAGAAATAGGAATCATCTCTTACATAAGGTTAAAACTCCAACAACTCAAAACAACCTCGATTTCACTCTACCGATTGTACTTGATTATAACAATAAAAATAAACAATTGAAAATTTTTTTAATTAAACACTGGCATTTATTGAAAGAGGACGAAATTCTAGGTAAACTAATCCCTGACAAACCTAGAGTTATATTTAGAGGAGCACCTAATCTTAAAATGCATTTAACTAAGAATTTTACAAAAAATAGTCCTAATAGAATTAAAAATTTTATGGACAAAAAAGGTTTTTACAAATGTAATAGCTGTGTGGCTTGTAAAAAAACAAAAACCACCGAAAGAACCATCACAGATTTTAAATCAAGTATTACGAATAAAACATATAATATAAAAGAGGTCATTACATGCAATAGTAAAAACGTTATCTATCTATTGGAATGCCCATGTGGCCTCCAATACGTAGGCAGAACAATCAGGCCATTAAAAATTAGAATTGCAGAACATTGCAGAAATATAGAAAAAGGCCTGCATAATCACTCAATACCATCACATTTCTGCATGCATAATAATGACCCTAAACAGCTCACATTTATTGGGATTAAAATAGTTAAAAATCACTGGAGAGGAGGAGATGTTATAAAAAAGATCGGTCAAACTGAAATGCAGTGGGTATACCAGTTAGATACCCTGCACCCTAAGGGGTTAAATGCAGAATTCGATTTATAAAAATTTTTATAATTTTTTTTTTTTTTTTTTTTTTCTGCTCCCCTTCAGCACATTTCGTTCGTAGTATCTTTTTTATAACAGTACTCAAGATATATGAGCGGCATGCCTTTTCTATGTTATCTTTATGTTCCTTTTATGTTTTTTATGCCTTTTTGTGTATTTTTATTTATGCTTGTAATTATGTTTAGCATATTGTATACCTTTATCATAGTTTATATACTAGATATGTTTTATATATATATTTGTTTTAATTGATCTTATTTTAGTATCATCTTAAATTTTGATGCTTGTGATTTACATTTGCATTGCAGACCCCTTATGTGTTATAAGAGCATGAACACCTTTTTCTTTTAATGTTATTAATTTTTGTATTAGTATCATCTCTGTAATGGAAGTATATGCTTTTTAGAAGCCCCTTCTTTTTGCATATAGACTGCATTTGAGTATTTATTTTGTGTCTGTGATTGCCCATTTTTAAGATGGCCGCCGGGCTGTTCGTATGATGTCACATGCCCACATCTCACTCTGTGAGCTATTCAGAGTGAGCAGCGCTCGGAACGCTACGCACTCCACATATTGGAGATGCGTGCGTCCCAATGCGCTATAACATTGTTATTTTTCTTTATTTTCTGTGCCGCAAATAGATTCCAGTTTGGTGTGAGCGGCACGCCATTTCCGGTGTGACGCGCGTATCGCGTCACTTCCGGTATGACGCGTGCGTGTCAACCGGAGCTCAGAATCAGGAAGTAACTCATCAGGAAACTATCACCTCATTAACCAGGATATAAAAACGGACTTTTGGACTTCTCACCACACTTCTGAAGAAGCCTGTTTAGGCGAAACGCGTTAAGTGGGACTTTTATACATATATTTTTTATCCAATATTGTTTTATTTTATTATATTAAAGTATACTTTGTTAAAGTTACTTTTTTATATATATTATTTCTTTACTTCCTGGATCCTGCATATCCTTGGTGGGGATTATACCACCTAGGCTGTTTATACTAGAGCAAGTTATATGCTCTGGAAATTGTAAGTACATTACTTTTATTATTGAATATACTATCAGTACTTACTTCACCATATTGCTGCTATCTCTTTTTATATCTATTATGCACACTGCACCTTGAGAACATCCGTGGCAATTACTACGAATCCTTAGACGGGGATTGTACCGTCCAGGCGCTTCACAGTAGAGCTCTGTTATAGCTCATCCAAATGTGAGTGGATTGCACACAGCTATAATTGCTCACATTTTTATATTTTATTCCAAATATTTAATTTACTGTATTGCACTATTATTCTGTATTTTAATCTTTTTGAGGTTATAAACGATCGGAATATTCAAGGATATATGTATGTATTTTTTTGTACATAGATATTACTAGGCGCGGTATACGCCTTCTGTTCTCTCTACTATTCACTCACAAGATTGGGGAATCTTTGTTCTGTATACTGCTGCCTGATCACTATAGCGAGCGCCTATCACTCTCTTTCTTTTTTCTCTGTCTATTAGTGAGTGTTAGTGTGTGTGTGCAGTGGCTACACATGACCCATGGGGTCCCGGTGCGAAAATTGATCCGTGGGATTTTTGCCGCCCCCTCATGTATGCCACTACATTCCCTCAGAAGTTTTTTTTATTCATTAAAAAAAAAATTCAGAATTGCAGTGAAGAGACATTTAGAGAAAAAGATGCACTGGGTAGCTATTAAACGGAAGCTATAGTGCCAGGAAAACAAACTTGATGTCCTGGCACTATAGCTTCCCCCTCTGTCAAGGCCCACTCCCTCTGTGGTGCTGAAGTCACTATGTGGGGGAGACCTAACGCACATGCGCGGCAATGGCCGCAATAACATAAGGATTTTCCCAATAGGAAAGCATTATACAATGTTTGTCTATGGGGTTCTGGATTACAATGGACGTCCCTATGCATACCAACAAAATGGTGGACGCACCCCGTCATCAGGACCCACACCTCAACAACTAAGCGGTAACTATGTGGACACTGCTCTACAATGCCTAGACAAGATATTTACCCATTTTTGGGAGAAGTTGCACCAGCCCATGACACAACCTCCCCTATCACCTACTTATGTGACGAAGGTGAGGGAGATGGGGGGGCGAGCCTCCTTGGGCACACCACGCACCTGAGCGACAACTGCTCTGGCTGACAGCCCACCCAGGCCAATGGCCGCCAGGAGTACTCCTCCACCACATCGCCCACATCGCAAGAAGACCACCCGCCGCTGGCGGAGACAAACCACCGTGGCCTTCCGGAGCACCTGAAGAGGGACATACACGGCCTGACTGAGCACCCGAGTCTGTCGGGAGAAGATGCCGACCTGCCACAAGGCCTGGGATTGGGAAGTGGCCTCTGAAAGCCCATGCAGCATCTTCGTCCTAGAGGACCCCAAAATGTCTGCCATCACATTACTCAGTATGGGAATAGGCTGACTGTGGACATTCAACCCTGCGGGCTGAACCACGTGGTACTTTCAGAGAGCACTACACCGCAGGGACGAGGTGCACTTTCACACTCCCAAGCTATTAAGCCAAGTCTTTTCATGGACTCTGCCCGAAACACCCATTTTGCCTTGGTCTGCTTCCCCATGTCTAGCACAGACTGATCCACACAATCAACAGTGAATGTTGGGTTTGGGGAACCGGCACGTTACATAACTCTACCTTACAGGGTAATCATGATAGGGAGTGTCGGGTATCGGTGGCCTAACCGCAATGCTTAAATATTTTCCTGATCTGTCTAGCATACAATTCGACTGTTTATTCTTGTTTTTAATTTTCGCCTAGTTAATCAGATGTTATGCTCACCATTTTACTAGTCTGCCCGGCATATAATAATATTCTTGTTTTCAGACCACACATAGTCAGTTGGTATAGCCTGCTCTTTACCACGTCGTTTTGTCTCACCACTTACTAGTTCTCCTTCTACTAATTATATAATAGAAAAATGTGCAGTTTATTTGAAAGCTATGTCAATGTTTCTCTTGTCTGACTATAATATGCTTGTGATCGCTGTTGTAGCTTACCCCATGCACGAAAAAAACAAAGACTGACAAAAAAACAACCTTGGAATGGAATTGTTGCAGATTCTTAAAGAACTGCAATAATTACTGTTGCAGGGTTAAAGGACCTGGGACACTGCACCCAGACCAATTCAATGAGCTGAAGTGGTCTGGGTGTCTATAGTGTCCCTTTAACATGTTTGTTTATTTTTATTTTAAATAAATGTTTTTATGTTAGAATTTACATAGCATATTTTCAGAGTTTCATGTTTTTGTGCTACCTGTCACCTTAATGATAGTTTGAATTCACATTTTCGTTGAACTTGCTTTTTGTGTGAAAGGTGAGCATTGTTTAGTAGATAAACCTAGACTGCATGGCACTGATATTTGCTATCTAGTGTTCAGCGATCACTGTCAGAGAGAAGGCTATACTTGTTCTGTCTCCAGGGAAGATGATGATCTTGTCTCTATACAATTACATGTTGACAACCTGAATAGGCAGGTAGGTAGCTGCAAGCAGGGTGATCCATTATACCAGACATGTTTCTGGGTGAGTTGTGTTGGTAGAAACAATCTGTCCCAAACACTGACACCTCTACATAAACAGCTTCTGGCTTCCAAGATGTCCATTCGTCCTCGTTCACCCATCATGGATGCTTTCAAAGCCATCTTCCTGCTGACTGCCCTCTGCACAGGGACAGGTAAGATTGGACGGGGTCCAAGTGACACTTTGATTTGCAGTAACTTGCTGTCATTGCTCTGTGGAACAAAGAACACAGTAACAAATGTTTCATGAGGCACGATTCTCAATGAAGCACAGCCTTACAATGATTCTATATGTTGTGGTAAGAGCTGAATTACTATAAAGGCGATGTTGACAAAGAGTGCTTGTCTCGTCTCCAGTAAATGATTTGAGTTTAACTAGTGGACAGGGCACTATATATTCGTCTACTTGTTCTTGCCATGTCTGTTTGCTCTACAGTGTATGTTACTATCGAGAGGAACCAGGGATGGTGACTCTGGCAAGTATGGCAGCATTCATTGGAAATTCATTTTACATTTCTTTCATACTGCAATATCTTCTTCTAAAGCTCAAATCTTTGTGGGACTGCCTTCCAGTGGGAGTAGTAAAGAACTGTCATACAGAAAGAGTAGTAGATACCTGGAATAGACTATCAGTGGAAGCAATAAAGACTAGCAGTGATATAGAAAGTTAAAGAGCAATGGCATGCGGCACTGCAAGGTATCCCACATTTTGGTGCCTGTTCCACAGGACCAGGTTCCTATTCAGCAGAACCCACTATTACAGCATCAATCTAAATAGGATCATTTAGTGATAATAGATACCTGGAATAGACTTCCAGTGAAAGCACTAATGGCTTATCTTGATATAGAAAATTAGTAGATACCTGGTATACCTTTCCAATGCAAGTAGTGTAGGCTAGAGGTAGGTAGTAGATACCTGGAATTGCCATTCAGTGGAGGTAGAAAAAGCTTACAGTTAATCAGAAAGGCTCTAGACCAGGGGTTCCCAAACCTTTTTGGTTCAAGGAGTCCTTACTATTTCAATATTTTTCCAAGGCACCCCAAGTCCAAATTTTTTTTAGGTTGTATATATGTACAGTGCTGTGGCATATACTGGGACCCTAATCTTGGGAGTGGCACTGGTAGATTATCTAAAGAAACAATCCAGGCACAATAACCACTACATTACGTTGTAGTGGTTATGGTGCCAGTAGTTTCGTTGTGTCCTCCCAGGGTAAGTAGTCAAACTGTTTAAGAATAGTTTGTCAATGTACCTGGGGTCTGCTGGGATAGGGGATGTAGTGTGTGTGTGCAATATGTGTGTGTGTTAGGTATGTTTATGGGGTCAGTGTGTGTGTATGGGGGACTGTGTGTGTATGGGGGGTAGTGTGTGTATGGGGGGGCAGTGTGTATGTATGGGGCAGTGTATGTGTATGGAGTAGTTTGTACAGGGGGTAATTATGTGTATGGGGCAGTGTGTTTGTATGGGGGGGTAAATTGTGTGTATGGGGTAGTGTGTGTTTGTGTATGGGGGACAGTGTGTGTATGCATGGGGTAGTGTGTGTATGGGGGTAGTGTGTGTGTGTGGGGTAATTGTGTGTGTATGGGGGAACAGTATGTGTGTATTGGGGAGCTATTGTGTGGTATGGGGTCTGTGGGGGTAGGAGAACAAATTAATAAATATATATATATATATTTTTTTTTTATTATTATTTTTATATTAAAAAAAATAACAATGATGTCCCCTCTCCCTGCTTACCTTTGCCTGGGACTGGGTACATTTGCTGCAATCCCTGGTGGTGACAGTGAACTCTAGCAGCCTCAGTAGCTGCTAGAGTTCACTCTCGCGAGATTCGGAGCGTTGCTGTGGTAACGGTTGCAATACTCTGAGCTTGCGAAAGGAGAACCTGGTGTAGCTGCAGGTTAGAACTCACCCTGGGTCCCCTCTCCCTCCCTCCCTTCCGGCTGTCAGCAAAGCGGGCCGGAGAGGGAGATCTCCATTCAATCCTTATCTAAAAACTCTATTTCTGTTTTATTTCTATTAATAATCCTATTCTACTCTCTCTGATTTGTCTTTCTCAATCTTCTTCTTGTTTATTTGTTTTTATTTTAATTTATATTTTATAAAACCATAGTCTGACCTATCACACTGCCATCAGTCAGGCTCACTTCTTAAAGGAATACTCAAAGCACCATAACAACTTAAAGTGTTTAAGCAACTTTAGCTCCTCTCCCTCTCCCTCTCTCTCTCTCTCTCTCTCTCTCTCTCCTTTCTCTCTCTCTCTCTCTCTCTATCCAAACCCTCTCTGAGCAGGCTCTGTTCACGAGTGATACATTGATACATTGGAGAGTTATTGGTAATGGGATAAAGCATTTAATGTAAGATTAACTCCCCTGGGCTATAAAAGACCTGTTACATAAAATAAATAACCTTTGCTTATGTGTTTTTTCTAGGCTTTGCATTACAGTGTTACACGTGTACAGGCCAGGCCAGTAACACCAACTGTATGACTGCGACCAACTGCACGGCAGCCAGTACTTACTGCAAGACCTCGGTGCTTTCTGGGGGAATCGGTACGTCCCACTTTTTACACTCTGTGATAGAGACATTATTAGCAGACTGTGTCTGAGAATCAGAATTCATTGAAACTCCATCAGGTTCATATGGCGAACTCTATATCACAATCCTTTACACAGAACCACAACACGGAGAGTGCAAGGGGATACATATATATCATGTAAATGGTCCAATACATGGCTTATGGTGATTTGTAAGGAATCTGCTGACATTATAGGAATGCGGATCCCACTCTTTCTGCAGTTAGAAATAATTTGACTGAAGTAAATAAATACAGTTATCTGACCAGCATTGGCCCATTACAGGCTGCACAGAGCTTCTCTCGTCATGGGTGCTAGATTGCAGCACTGTACTGTTTGAGCCTTGTAAGCTGCAGTATAGTGTGAGAGGGTGAAGCAATGCATTTCTCAAAGTCCCTCCATTCAGAGTCGTGGGGACTGGAAAGAGCCTCAGTGAAGTGATTTGTTTCTCTTCCTCTCGATTACAACCAGCACTAGTTTGATTGATTCATTTTTCATTTATTAATGGAAGGCTGTCTCTAATTACGGGAGTTTTATTCCACTGTAGTTAGTTCTAAATTAACAGACAGGGTGTATAAACTCTAATTGATATTTATGATGTTCTATTAAACTATTTCCTATATCCTGTTTTCTGTAAGTTCTCAAAGTAGCGATATTCTAGATTAAAATTATTTATTTTTGTAATTTCTCTGTCTCCTGGCTTTGGAGACGTCAATGAATGTTACTGTAACTGTGACTTGATACCCATCTGGTAAAGCCAGAGTTAAAGTACTTTGTGTTATTCCCACAGGTAGTCTGTCTGCGGCCACCATTTCCAAATCCTGTGAGTCCGTCTGCGTGGCAACCAGTTTGAATGTTCTGGTTGTTTCGACTTCCGTGTCATGCTGCAGCACTGACCTGTGTAACACAAGCGGGGCCACCAGCATTAAATCCGGCTATGCCATCCTGGCTCTGTGTCTGGGTCTCTTCTTAACTCTCATCAGAAACCCATCTCTGTGATTTCCCAGATCCCAAAGATCGATCTACAATATCCAACCACAACGGAAACCCTAATAATATTATCGGGACTAACTGAATTCCCCTGTACCCCGAGCTGAGGTGTGATAATAACATTATCAGAGGAAAGGCCTGAACTGGTTACATTTGGACAGGATGTCTAACCTTGTGATCTCAACTCCGACACACCTGGACAAACTTGAAAACCAGTGAAAGCTAGCTGTACTGGATAAATACTTATAATAATAATTATGATATTATTTTTGCTATTATTTACATAATTCTTTCTCTATTATTAAAATTTATATTTCTATTATCTGATATTTGATATAACGTTAATAAAAAACTCATGTAATATATATTTTGTGCAGTTGATGCTTTCTCGATGGGTATTGGGTTTAATTTTGTCTTTTAGTAGGTAAGTGAGTGGTGGAGGGTGCCGGTCCAAATGGGCAGCAGTCAGTATAGGACCAGTCCCTACGGGTCTTTAATTTCTGTATATGGCACAGTGAAAGGCTTACCATGGAAGGTGAGTGAGCTGGGTGGTAAATAACACAAATTAGACACCAGGAATTCTTTAAGATTCACAAGAACTGTATTTACAGACCTGGATTACGTTGCTAATCCCTTCATTCCATTCATTCAGTCGCTTGTATCAGATGGAACAGAATTAAAAATAAAATTCTGTTAAATCTTTGGTTCCACATATGTGACATGTACATCATGCAGTGCCAGCATTATAATATTGATAAGATGAAAAAAAATCTACATATTGAAACATGATTTTTTTTTTTTTTTTAATATAAAATCACCTTAAAAGTTCATCCAACATTACAAAAACAGGCCTTAATTCTCAGAACCATCAGCACTGGGTTCTTCAACTATTAACAATCTCTTACTACAAAGGCCTACCCTCTGGCAACTACTCATGGATGGACATTGCCAGGGCAATATTACCTAAAAACACACCCCACCCACTCACAAAAACATAAAATGTGTTGTTTGTTTTTTCGTTTTAATCCTCTTATAAAGAGATCCCAGGGACCATGGCACTGCCACAAAGGGTAGTTCTTTGAATGAGGAACATAGCGACAGATCCAACAGAGATTACTCTTAATAATAATAATAATAATAATATTTTGCAATTTTTATATCGTTTTTCTCCGCAAGACTCAAAGCACTTTACAAGTATACAAACATAAAGATATAAAACTGGATAAAAACAGGGGGGTAGGTGCAGCGCCTCAGTAATCCTTGACAAGGTATATATGGAGAGAACCAGAGAAGAAATAATAGTGTAGTATTTAAAACTGCAGTGATTAAATAAAAGATGTGCACTCACACTTTCCTGGAGCTTCAATATAGCTCCAGTATATGCGCCTGGGCGGAATAATCCCTGCCTATGGATCAAGTGCCTAGGTAATTCTTCGAATTATAGGTGTTGTAGGGTGTATCCTTATAAAAAGTAAACAAATAAAATTTGTATACGGTGAAGTATGTAGAGCTATGAAGCAAGGGTAGGAAAAAAAAAAACAAATGTACACTCACGTGTAATGGAACCATAAAACCTGGCTCCTCTGATAGCGCTTGAAGTGGTATGATCCCCACTCAAGGATACAGGTGTAAATATAAATTCTTCCGTCCATGTATATATGGAGATAAACAAACAGAACCACAATAGTGTATACCGTAAAAAGGAGTGTAAGAAGAAATAAACAAGTTAAACCTACTCACATGCTAAAGAGCTAGTTCCAGTTTGCTCATACCACTTCAATCGCTATCAGAGGAGCCAGGTTTTACGGCTCCACGTGATTGCATAAAGATATAAAAGTTAGGAGTTTTTGAAGGTCAGCTGAGCGGACTGAATGCCTGATGGAAGAGGTGGGTCTTTAGCTTTTTTTTTTAAATGTCTGTAAGGACGGTGCCTCTTTGATTGCGCACGGTAAAGAGTTCCAGAAGGTAGGGGCAGCGTGGCTGAATGCCCTGGAACCCGAGTCTGACTTTATTCTGGGCACTGACAGGAGGGATTTGCTGGCTGAATGAAGTGAACGGGATTGAATATAGGGTGTCAGGAGCTCTTTCAGGTACTGTGGGCCTTGATTGTTTAAGGCTTTGACAGTCAGCAAGCCAATTTTAAAACATGTTTGCCATTTAATTGAAAGCCAATGCAGGGAGTGGAGAACAGGTGTTATGTGGCAGGAGTGAGTTTGATTGGTCACATTCGGGTGAATTGCCGAATTGCTGAATGGTCGAAGTCCCAAAGTTCCGAAATTACTGAATTTCCGAAGTGCTGAAGTGCCGAAGTTCCAAAGTGCTGAAGTGCCGAAGTTCCGAAGTTGCGGAGTAGTGTTGAAGTGCCGAAGTTCCGAAGCACAGTAATGCCTAAGAACTAATATACCGTATTTATCGGCGTATAACACGCACTTTTTCCCCCTGAAAATAGGGGAGAAATTGTGGGTGCGTGTTATACGCCGGCCCTTTAAATACTGCAGCCGCCTGAGTGCTCTGTCAAGAGCGCTCAGGCGGCTGCAGTTGGTACTCACCTCCCCTGTAGCGTGGCCGAGCCGCTCTGCTGTCCGCGGTGGCCGGCCGGAGTGATAGGAAGGTGCACGCTCAGTGTGCACCTTCCTGTCAGTCCGACCGGGTACAGGAAACAGAAACTCCTGTTCCGCGCAACAGGAGTTTCTGTTTCCTGTACCTGGTCGGACTGACGGTAAGGTGCACACTGAGCGTGCACCTTCCTATCACACCGGCCGGCCACCGCGGATGGCAGAGCGGCTCGGCACGCTACAGGGGAGGGGGGGGTAAGAAAGGGTGAGGGGAGGGGGGGTAAGAAGGGGAGTAAGAAGGGGGTGAGGGGGTAAGGGGTAAGAGGGGGAGGGGGTAAGAAGGGGGAGGGGTAAGAAGGGGCGAGGGTAAGGGGTAAGAGGGGGGAGGGGGGAAGTAAGAAGGGGGGGTAGAAAGTGGGGTAGAAGAGGGGGTAAGAAAGGGGGGTAAGAAGAGGGAGGGGTGGTAAGAAGAGGGGGAGGGGGGAGTAAGAAAGGGGGGTAAGAAGAGGGGGGAGTAAGAAGGGGGGAAGGGGAAAAAAAGTTCTTTATTTGAAATTTAAAGGACCACTCTAGGCACCCAGACCACTTCAGCTTTATGAAGTGGTCTGGGTGCCAGGTCCCTCTAGGATTAACCCTTTTTTTATAAACATAGCAGTTTCAGAGAGCAACAGCCAGCTTGAGAAGTGGCACGCAAGCGTCCATAGGAAAGCATTGTAAATGCTTTCCTATGCGACAGGCTGAAGCGCGTGCCGCATTCAGCCGATGACATCGCGAGCAAGGAGGAGAGGAGGAGTACAGCTCCCCGCCCGGCGCTGGAGAAAGGTAAGTGTTTAACCCCTTCCTCTCTCCAGAGCCCGGCGGGAGGGGGTCCCTGAGGGTGGGGGCACCCTCAGGGCACTATAGTGCCAGGAAAACGAGTATGTTTTCCTGGCACTATAGTGGTCCTTTAAGTTTTTTTTCCCTGAAATTTCCCTCTTAAAATGAGGTGCGTGTTATACGCCGGAGCGTGTTATACGCCGATAAATACGATACTTACCCAGTGGAAGAATGAAGAATGTATACAAACATAGCCAGAATTCAGCTGTAAGCATTTGCAACACTTACAACAATCAAGTAACATACATTCATATAAAATGTAAGTTACTTAGCCAGTCAATGTAATGGCAGGAATGAATAAGTAGATAACTCCTTAATTCCCACGGTATTAGGGAGCTAGCTACTAAAAGGCTGAAAGACCTAAATTGGTCTTTCAGACAAATTTATGAATACTAAGTAAAGATTACTTAGTATTAGTAAATTATGCCCCTACTCGCTATACCGTGAGTAGGAGCATGCCTATGGCTGCACACTTAAAAAAAAAAAAAAGGTCCTTTTGCCCCCCCCCCCGGCCCCCACCCGCCTACAGTAAAATAGGGGGGGCGCCTAATGTCCTCCCCCCTGGCCCCCACCCCTGAGCGGTGGGTGGGGCCCCTAAATACTAGTAAGGGGGGGACCTTTAGGCTCAGAGCACTCTGATTGGTGGGTTTAAGTCATCCAATCAGAGTGCTCTGACAGGTAAATGAAGAGACTGACAGGTAAGTCTCTACATTTACCTGTCACAGCACTCTGATTGGTTGGCTTGAAATCCACCAATCAGAGTGTTCTGTGTCATTTTACACAGCGTGGGAAAGTTCTTTGGAATTTTCCCACGCTGTGTAATTCGACTCATAACACTCTGATTGGTGGATTAAGTAACCAATCAGAGAGTTATGAGTCAAATTACACAGCGTGGGAAAATTCCAATTAAGTCCCCCCCCTTATTAGTATTTAGGGCCCCCACCGCTCAGGGGTGGGGGTTGGGGGGAAGACAGTAGGTCCCCCCCCAGGGCCGCCATCAGGGCATGACAACCATAATGGTTGTCATGGGCCCGGCGGTCCTAGGGGGCCCGGACTACTCTGGCAGTCCGAGCCCCACATCCCTTATGTGCACATATATATGGCGATTTTTGCTATATATATATGTGCATTGAGGGCCCCCTCCTACCTGTACATTGCAGAGGGGGGCCCAGCAGCACACTCTGTCTTCCTTTCCAGCTGCTCTCTGTCTAACTTTCCTGCGGGTTACCATGGCAACGCTCCGCACAGCACTTAGGCCGGTCTCGTCAGAGAGGAGCTGGAAAGGAAGACAGTGTGTGCTGCTGGGCCCCCCTGCAATGTAACGCAGCTGGCTCCCTGCACCATGCCACTGGACCACCAGGGAATGCGATATCCCCCCTCCCTGGAAATGTAAGAACCAGGGAAGGGGGAAGAAAATGTAAATATACACAAATAAATTTAAAAAAAATACTCCCCTCCTCCCTATTTTACACACACACACTGCATCCTTACAAGCACACACTCTGCACTACACACACTACATTCACTAAACACACTCTGCACTACACACACTACATTCACTAAACACACTCTGCACTACACACATACACACACACACTACATTCACTAAACACACTCTGCACTACACGCACACACACACACACACACTACATTCACTAAACACACTCTGCACTACACACACACACACACACTACATTCACTAAACACACTCTGCACTACACACACACACTACATTCACTAAACACACTATGCACTACACACACACACTACATTCACTAAACATAATCTGCATTACACACACACACACTACATTCACTAAACACAATCTGCATTACACACACACACACTACATTCACTAAACACACTCTGCATTACACATACTCAGACTACATTTACTAAACACACTCTCCACTACACACACTACATTCACTAAACACACTTTGCACTACACACACTACATTCACTATACACACGTTGCACTCACTACAATCACACTACATTTACTAAACACACTCTGCACTACACGCACACACTACATTCACTATACACATTTTGCATTAACTACAATCATACTACATGCACTATACACACTTTGCACTCACTACAATCCAACTACATTCACTAAACACACTGTGCACTCACTACAATCACACTACATTCACTATACACACTCTGCACTCACTACAATCACACTACATTCACTATACACACTCTGCACTCACTACAATCACACTACATTCACTAAACACACTCTGCACTCACTACAAACACTACATTTACTAAACACACTCTGCACTACACACACACACTACATTCACTAAACACACTTTGCATTACACACATACCACCTTCACTATACACACTTTGCACTCACTACAATCACTATACACACTTTGCACTCACTGCAAACACACTACATTCACTAAACACACTTTACCATCACTACAATCACACTACATGCACTATACACACTTTGCACTCACTACAAACACCGCACTACATTCACTACACACACTACAAAAACACACACTCTACATTCACTATACACACCTACATTCACTACACACACACTCTGCATCTAATGCATGCATCCAAACATTACATACATTACACAAAACATACAATCTGCATCCACTAGATCTTGAGCTGTGTCAGGGGCCCTAAAATTTCTGATGGCAGCCCTGCCCCTCCTCCCCCCCCCATCATTTTACTTTAGGGCCCCCACCCACCGCTCAGGGGTGGGGGCCGGGGCCGGGCATTAGGTCCCTTCTTTTGTTTAAAACCCCTCACTTGTGAGTGGTAAATTTGGCTTTCAGCCTTTTGGTAGATACCGTGGGAATTTGGGAGTTATCTACTAAGGGGCTGCACGAGAAGTCCCGAAGTGCCGAAGTCCCGAAATGCCGAAGTTCAGAAGTGTCGAAGTGTCGAAGTGCCGAAGTTGCCGAAGCTCCGAAGTGTCGAAATGCCGAAGTGCTGAAGTTCCCAAGTGCCGAAGTTCCCAAGTTGCCGAAGTGTTGAAGAGCCGAAGTTCCAAAGCGTTGAAGTGCCAAAGTTCCGAAGTTGCCAAAGTTCTGAAGTATTGAAGTGCCGAAATTCCGAAGTCCTGAATTGTGGAAGTCCCGAATTTCGGAATGCCGAACCGAACCGAAAATTTTCCCCATGCACATGCCTAGTCAGCAGTCTGGCTGCTGCATTTTGTACTGTCTGAAGGCAATGGAGTTCTTTTTCTGGGAGGCCCAAGTAAAGTACATTGCAGTAATCTAGCCAAGAGGATACAAATGCATGGATCAATGTTGGCATATCATCCGGTGACATTAAGTGTCGTATCCTGGGTATGTTTTTCAGATGAAAGTAGGCAGATTTTATTACAGAGGAAATCTGCTGTTTAAATGATAGTCCATTGTCAATCAGCACTCTGAGGTTTTGTACCATTGATGAACTGATGAGTTCAGAGCTTCCAAGCTCCAGGCCAGTTGGGTGATCATGGTCCCCTTACTAAGAGTAACTCTGTTTTGTCCTGGTTCACTTTAAGCCAACTATTAGACTGTGTCCACGCTTTAGGTGTAAACTCTTTGTCTTCAAGTCTAAGATTTTCATAACAATAGGAAATAACTTTGCCTTTAAAATCCAATAAATAATGTGTTGATTTTTTATTTTATTTAAAGTGAGTTTCTCGTCATGTAGGATATTACCCTCCAAGTCATTTTTGTATTCTCAAATAGGTGAAAATCTTTTTTGGTGGTATTTTGTGAGTCTGCCAAAATTTGAGAAGGGCCTAATTTTATCTTCCTGCAGAAAGTTCTCAAATCACCTCTCTTGGTCCTGGGTAATAAGTGCAGATCCTCTATATTGTATTCCATTGTTTTAATGGGGCTACCGTTGGAGATTTTATCCTGAATTTCGTTTTTTCCTGAATTTCTGCGAGTTTTCGTTAAGATTTTTTAGGTAGGTATTTTCTCTTATACATAAGCTATCTAACCATGTGTGAGACAAGAGGTCACTAGTTTTTTAACATGAAGGATTCTACTTTAAACCAGGGTTTGTCTGATGAATTCGGATCCTGCAATCTCCACAAGTGAAACATCCTGATAGCATGGTAATACCTGATAATGTTAGGAATCGCAACGTTGCCTTTGTTAGCTGTAGCAGAGTAGACACATTAAAGGCAATATCTCCGCTGATGCACATTTAAAGCTGAAGTCAGCAGAGGGAGGAGAGTTCCCCAGCACAGAGGGTGCCCGACGCTGGAGAAAGGTAAGTGTTTAACCCCTTTAGTCCCATTCAGCCCAGCGGGAGTGGGACCCTGAGGGTGGGGTCCTTTAAGTAAAGTTTAAGCATTTTTTTACAATCATTTCACTTAAGCTTTAGAAAATAAAGATCCCTAAGTAACTACAACCTTCCAAGGTCTAGGTGAATGGATTTTCGCGGTTAAGACATTCACTCAAGTTATGGCTTTCACGTACTGGTCATGATTTGAGATTTCCACATTTTCTCTCCAGTTTCCTATTCATAAATCTCTAGCTGACCCTGTCAAAAGTTTTCTCGGCATCAAGTGACAGGGCCAGCAGGGTTAGGTCAGACCTCACTGCACGGTCAATGGGGAAAGCAAACGTTGCGTGTTTTTATAATTCAAAACATTTCAGATAGGGAGGTAGGAAGAGAAATACAACTTACCTTTTAATAAGGTGTCAAATTTAAAATCGGTCTCAGCTTGTTAGTTAAGAAAAATCTGTGAATATATCAGACAATCAAACAAATAGGGTAGGTAAACTCAAAGTGAAAACAGATCTAAAAGATTCATTAATCGAGGTAGATACATTCTAACTATAACAAGCATATAGCTTAATGCAGCACACTACAGACAGTATAGATACAAAGTAATGCTAAGTAATACAAATGGTATTCGAAAGAGTGAGATACAAAGTAGTGAATTCTAACAGAATAATCTCTGTAGTTATGGTGTATCGAAGACTGTGTGATGAACACGAACTAGCCAAATCCAGTCTGATCCCGATGTGCTAAAATGGAGTTATGGGTTGTAATCTATTTGAAATTAATGACGATCTGAGTTAATTAACTATTTTGGTCTGTAGTAATAGTAGCTTGTAACAGTTCCTTTGGTAGTGACCCTACATTATTTATTTTATTTATTTATAAAATATTTTACCAGGAAAGATACATTGAGATTTCTCTCGTTTTCAAGTATGTCCTGGGTCCACAAAACATTGCATTGATACAATATGGTACAATAATATAAATAAAAACACAAAAACAATATTAATACACAATGTATACAAAATTTAACATGGAACAGGTAGGAAATATATAATCAGCCATGACAGGTGCATTCTGTTTTGAGGTATGTAGAGAGGGATCTCTAAAAGGACTTTAGGCTTAGGGAAGATTTTAAATTGTGCGGGAGGTCGTTCCACAATTGCGGTGCTCTGTAGGAGAAGGAGGATCGGGCCGCTTTCTTTTTGTATTGAGGTAGACTAAATAAAGTGTTGGTACTGGATCGGAGCTTATAGGAAGTGGGAACAGCTGGGGAAAGCATTTTGTTCAGGTAGGGTGGGAGTTGCCCAGAAAATCTCTTAAACACAAGGCTGGAAAGATGAAGGGTGCGTCTGGATTCCAGCGATAGCCAGTTTAGTTATTTTAGCATGTCACAATGGTGGGTCCTGTAATTACATTGTAGCACAAATCGGCAGAACGAGTTATACAATGTGTTGAGTTTATTAATGTGGGATTGAGATGCAGACGCATATACTACATACCCATAATCAATGATTGGCATCAGCATTTGCTGTACAATCCTTTCCTTTATTGTAAGGCTTAGGCAGGATTTGTTTCTGCACAGGGCACCTGGTTTTGGATAAAGTTTAGATGCAAGCTTTTCTATGTGGAGGCCAAAAGATAGATTGGGGTCTAACATCATACCCAAGTATTTGAAAGAGTGGACTGCGGTCAGTGTGCCATTTGAATTTGTTTTGATGGATAGGTGGGAATTGTGTAATTTGTGTAATTTAGGTACTGTTCCAAAGATCATTGTGACAGTTTTGTCAGTGTTCAGGAAGAGTTTGTTTTTTGTGATCCACTTTTCTACCTCTGTAAACTGGTCTTGAAGCACAGCCTCAAGTTGCGGTATATCAGATTCGCTTGCATAGATTACAGTGTCATCTGTGTACATGTGTACATTTGAGGATTTGTAGACATTAGGCAGATCATTTATAAATAATGTGAATAGTAGGGGGCCGAGAATGGAACCTTGGGGAACACCATACATTACTGGGAGAGGGAGCGAGTCACTGCCAGAAATGGACACATATTGCGAGCGATCCGATAGATATGATCGAAACCAGGTTAGCGAACGATCACCAATACCTGAGTTTTTGAGTTTGTGCAGTAGAATGTCATGGTCTACTGTGTCAAAGGCCTTAGCAAAATCAAGGAAAATATCTCCAGTTAGGTCTCCTTGTGCCATGCCAGTTTGGATGTCATTGCAAACTTTTAAGAGGGCAGTTTTAGTGGAGTGATTCGGGCGAAAGCCCGATTGATCAGGGGTCAGATAGTTGCATATGGACACGTTTTTCTAAGATTTTTGACAATACTGGGAGCAATGATATTGGGCGATAGTTAAAAACCAAAGTAGTGTCACCACTTTTATGGATAGGCACTACTCTCGCAGTCTTCCAAAGTTTGGGTATCTATCCAGACACCAAGGATTCGTTAATTAGAGTTGAGATGGGTTTAGCAATTGCCGGCGCACTGAGCTTCAACAGCTTTGCTGGGATTTGATCGGGTCCGGACTGGTTTTTCATTTTTAGATTATTAAGATGTTTTCTAATGACACTAATAGGTACAGGTCTAAAAATAAACTTGTCTATATTGGGCCTAGGCAAATTTTTTGGGACCTGATCCACATTTGTAGTTTCAGGATGCGTGTCATTTATTAGCTTGGCAATCAGGGCAGTAGAGCATCCGACAAAATAATTGTTAAAGGCATTTGCTACATCTAAGGGACGTTGCAGGGTTTGGTTATCCACTTTGACAGTGGAGGGTTGGGAGTGGATTGGGGGAGTTTGTAAGTTATTTATGACTTTCCAAACGTTTCTAGGGTTTGAGATGTTATTGTTGAGATTCTCATAGAAATATTGTGCCTTGGCCAATTTTGTTTGTTTTGTGCATATATTTCGCCATTGTCTATATGCACAGTGATCGTTCATAGAGCCAGTACGCTTAAACTTTGACCACAAATAATCCCGAAACTGGTACATTTGGATGAGGTCAGCTGTGATCCAGTTCATATGCGCTCCTTTTACCCTCACCTTACGCAGCGGGGCATGCAAATTCCAAATTTGTAGGAGTTCAGACTGAAAGAATTCAACAGCACAGTCTAGATCTGGAATAATGTTTAATCTGTGCCATGGGAGGTTCTTGATGTCATTTAGAAAGGATTCAAGATTAAAATGTTTGAAGGACCTAGTTATTTTAACCTTGGGAGATGATTTAATAGCCTTTATTTTGCGCACGCAGTACACTAAACAGTAATCACTGAAACTGGATTCTATCAGGAGAAGTGGAGAGAATCCAATCGAACAGGGTATGGTTATGGCTTTTAATGTTTATGTGAATTGGGGAGGAGATTAATTGCGTTAGCTGCAAAGTCTTATACAACGAGCAAGAACTATTATTTTTAGGATTCAGCCAATCAATATTAAAATCTCCAAAGATCAACAGTTCACTTTTTGGGTTTGGAGCTATGGTTTCACTAAGGAGATGGGCTATGTCAGATAGGGAATGCACTGGGGAACAAGGTGGGCTGTAGATTCCTGCAACAATGATTGATTTACTGCACGGGATCTCAATTGTGCCAGAAAGGAAATCAAAGGTGGCAGGAGGACTAAGGTTTTGTAAGGGGGTAAACTTTATGGAATTGTCAACATAAATGACAATGCCACCTCCCCTCTTTGCTCTGTCATTTCTAAAACATGAATAACCCCTGTATTGCAATGGCGGTGTCTGGTATTTTAGTGGTTAACCATGATTCAGGGAGCACAATGATTTTTGGTTTGTAATGGGAACACCAGGCTTGCAGAGCATCCAGTTTAGGGAGTAAACTACGAATGTTGCAGTGCACAAAAGAGAGGCCTTTTTTAGTGGGGAGATTAGGACTAGAATTAGCTGGGGGACCAGGGTTAGACTCCACATCATTTGCAAGGGCAAGTAACATAAGGAGTAGGAATTTGGACATCATTTTTGTTTGGCCCTATAGTGAATGGGATAATTTATAATTTTGTGTGGTGGGGGTAGGAGGGCTATTTTTTAGAACTCTCCACCAGCACTCAGCAGATAAGTTACAGGAACAGAGCAGGCCATGCTGTATGATAATTTGTGTTCCAGTTTGAGGTGTGTGATTATGCTGGTAGTGGTGTGAACAAAATTGGATTGAGAAAAGGGTTATTAAGAATAACAGTATGGTTATATTTGGATGCATGTTAGTGGTATGAGGTGTGTGGTTGAAAATGAAACAGAAATTGCGAAAAACTAAAATTAAATAGAGGTATATAGTTTTGGTGTGTGATATCACGGATCTCATTAAAAGTATTGGTTAAGTGTCATACCTGGTCTTTTAGAAATACTTTATAGAACAAGTTAGTGAAGACATCAGGCCCTGGGGCCTTTATTTATTTTATTTATTTATTTTCGTTAATCAGATTTTTATTAGATTAGATTATTAGCAATTGGACACAATAAGTGTAGGGCTCGCAGGCCCTCATCAATCAAACAGTGAAGGTAGCAATTGTTAAGCATAACATAGATCTGTACATATTCAAGGGTGTTTCCTGTTCCAATACATAACAATTGACATGGTACAGTGGTGTCTTTATTTTTGTTTAGTTTATTGATTGAATCTATGACTTCATCTTCCAAAAAAAGGTTGATTTAAGACAATAAGATGTTCCACTGGTAATCAAGGCAGGGCTCCTGGCTCTTGAACTGTTTTAAATCATACTATATGTTTTCATTAGTGACGTGCACATTTTCTTCTCTTTGCACAAAATATATTTTTATAGGAATCACTAGATGTCTAACTGCGCACTAGAGCACAATTCCTAGTAGCCAGTAACAGATTAAGGATTATTTCATCATACAGACACAAAGCGAATAATTTCATACTCAACAATTAATATTTTTTCACAGCCTAAACAAATACGCCATATACCATTCTAAAATGACTCATCTTTTTATCCTACAAGAAAAAAAAAAAAAAAGATGTAGTAGATACACAGAATGGCTGCCCAGCAGAGGTGGTAATGCAAAACCAGACATTCATGGAAGTACAAATACCTTACCTTAGCTATCCAAAATAATGTAATAACTCCAAGATGATAACATTATTAATTAAAAGACTTCATCCAATTAATCAAAGACATTCTTTTAAAACTACAACAAATCCCCATGGAAAATCTTACTTAATTTCATAGTCACAATAAGAAGACTAAATAAAGCTCACCCTCTGTGTCCCTCAGAGGAAAAAGACCCACTGAGGTACTGGGGAGAAAGGAACACACTGAGGGGCTGAGGAAGGGGAAAAAGAGACACACAAACAAGTTGGGGGAAAAAGAGACACACAAAGTTGGTAATTTTCTTTGGGGGGGTCGCAGTTAGCAAAGATAGTCTTGCACCGACCCTGCAAACATCACATCTACTCTCTCTTCTAGTAACTTTAAAATTCAATCATTTGTAAACCATAACCTCAAAACATATTCTTCTACCGGCCTGTGAGATAGCTCAATGGCCTAATGCATCATTAGTAGAATCTGTTCAGTAAGAGGGGGGTGAATGGGAATGAATTTGGGAAGATGCCTCCAAGATATCCATCTGTGTCCCCTCACAGGAACAGATGTACAAAGTCATGTTTCACTGGCATATTACCCCGGTCTGATCTCTGCTGGTGATTAGGAGGACACAAGGGGACCTACTTACAAATAAGGTGGGATTGTCCCAAACTACACAACAATTGGAAAGGAATTAAAGACTTCCAGAGATCTATAGAATTATCTCCATGGACATTCTTACTTTCATGTCCAATTGAGAGTATGCCAAAACATTTGCAAAAAACTACTAAACATAATTGTCCAAGAGGATTATAGCTGCAGTTGGCAAAAAATTGGAAGGACCATATTTACAAGACATTCTAGCAAAAATAGAAGATAACGATATCATGGCTAAAGACACACAGTACCTACCTTTTTCAAAGCAAAGTTTGGGAAGCATGGAATTAATATCTCTAATCGATCCTGAGTAGGTTCTATGAGATCTGGGAGGTACATGTGCGTGGTAACACAGAATTTGTCTTTAAAAATCTACTCCTTTCTCCCTCTATTTCTCTTTATTTTACAGTTTCTTAATTTTTAATTACACATGTTAGAGACCGAGTTCATTGATAAAGGTTTTGACAGGTGAACTTTTATAGATACTACCTGACTCACTGTGAGACACCCACTGATGTTTAAAATATTTATGATATATATAAAACTTATTTTATAGTGTGAACAAATGGATTGAGTCCTGGGAGACTCTCACTTATCTTCTTCTTATGTTTCATCTGATGTGCTCTTTATGGGTAATACAAATAAAGAATAACAAAAACAAAAAAAATTCTTAACTAGACTAGATTTATTTGTCTAATGACATCAGATAATCTGTTATTCTACAAGTAACCCTATTACTATATCACCCTTTGAGAGGCTGTCAAAAAGCACCTAAAAGACATTTAGCAAAATAACGGTGACTGATCTGCTGGGAGTCCAGTGGCTGAAGGCGAAGGGGAGTTTTTCTTATCTAAACCAGCCCCTTGTGTACGCTCCATGGTCTCCCTGCCACCCTGCCAGTCATCCTTAGCTCATGGCTGAAGTCTATGGATGATACTTTGTGACCAAGGGATCCCCCACAGACATTGCATTTTCTCTGACATATGATCTTAAATCCAAGAAAGGATAAAATAAAGGTGGATTGGTGCTTAAAGTGCAAATGTAAATGCAACAACTCCCAGTGTCTTCAAATGACACTGAATGAATGGATAAAAGCAATGAATAACAGGGGGAGGGGGGGATGAGAGAGTGATAAACAGCACACAATGATAAATACTTATTAGTATGAGTGTACAGTCTCTAGATCTTTCTGTAAAAACAGTATAAAAACAATCATAGCGTAATACTGTATAGCAGCAAATATTGATCAATTAAAGAGCTAATGGGTCACTCACACTTTCCAGAGCCACAACAAGCAGGCTCTGGCTTTGTAGGCAGTTGAATAATGAGCTTATTCTGGCTGTAAACTCCACTTGTTGGGATCCTCCTTCCTGGTACCACATAAATACGAGGATATCCAATAGGGTAGAAGTGAAGAAACGTTACTTAACCCCTTAAGGACTGAGCCAAATGTACACGATGCGATCAAAACAAAACGTAAACAAAAACTTGAATTTGCGCTATATGTCTGTTCAGGCGTAATTCACCTCTTTCATATTATGTGCACCCACACTCATTTTATATCATTTTATTCAGGGGAAACAGGGCTTTCATTTAACATCAAATATTTAGGTATAAAACATTATTTAATATGAATAAAATATTAAAAAATGGGAGAAAATAAGAATGTTTTGTTACGTGACATTCTACCTGTGAATGTCATAATACTGTTTGATTTTACTGCAATAAAATACCATATTTGTATTCAGTAAAGTCTCACGTGTAAAACAGTACCCCATATGTACAGAAAAATCTAAAAGGAATGAAGAGAGTACCTATCAATACAAAATAAATAAAGAAAAGAAACTATCACTAAGTGAAAACTGAGCAAATAAAGTACAGTTTAATCACTAATAAGATGAAAGAAATGATAAAAATAAAAATAACAAATAACTTTATTGGATATACGTAATAAAAAGTATAAATGTATGGGAATGGAACACTGATAAGCTAGTTAAAATCAATCTAAATAATATCTCATGGTGTAAAGATATATTCTGATGTCTCCAATTACAACGAATATAACACACTGCACACGTCTGAGCAAAGTGAAAGTAAAAGGGGGCGGAGGGGAGAGCGCCTAAGGTAGTAGTGTGATAACTCAAGAAACGAATCAAATTCTATATATATTGATTGCTGTCCATAACTAACAGCTAGAACCCGAACAGTAATCATATAGAGGTGAACTGTCAAGTAGCCGTAAGAATAATAATTAACTAGAGTATATCAAGAACCAGATAACTTAGTAAAAATGCCTGCCCCATTAGCTAGAAAAACGACAGTAATTGTCCTGACAATACAGAGCTTAGCTGGTGTAGGGCTGTTACTTGAATACAGAGTACAGCACAAAGTTCTGCACTCAGCTACGAGAACAGCATGCTGGAATAGTAAGCAATATGCTGTAGGCAAAGCTGATACAAAGTTGCTACAGAGCTATCAAAGTGCTGGATAATACGTTGTAACTATTCTTAGGTGGTAAATTGTGATAAAAGAAGAGAGTTCTAACAAAAGACCTTAGTCAGGTAGAAAGCTACTGCTGAAATATTGGGATCGCAGTAACTCAAGCACGGAACATGATAACGTGCAACAAAAATAATAATCCTGAGGCTAGAAACCCCTTCATGGGCACCAGGACTAACCCCCACTAATGCTATCCTAAATGAGACATCAGTTAGAAACG